TGTAGAATATCGTAAAACACATTTTCCTGGCCTATATTGCCTAAAAACAAAAAGTTGGAAAAATGGCCACTTTTGGACAAAACCATGGGTTAACCCTTTTGGAAAAAGCTCAAATTTTCGACTTTTTGAACTTCTGGTTTTTTTAGCCTAGAAAGGCGTTTTTTTGTTCTAGAATATCGTAAAACACATTTTCCTGATCTATATTGCCCAAAAAAAAAAAGTTGGAAAAATGGCCTTTTTTGGACCAAAACCATGGGTTAACCCCTTTGGAAAAATCTCAATTTTTCAACTTTTTGAAGTTCTTGTTTTTATGACGTAGAAAGTCGTTTTTTTGTTCTAGAATAAAGTAAAACACATTTTCCTGATATATATTGCCTAAAAAAAAAAGTTGGAAAAATGGCCATTCTTGGACCAAAACCATGGGTTAACCCCTTTGGAAAAATCTCAATTTTTCGACTTTTTGAACTTCTTGTTTTTATGACGTAGAAAGTCGTTTTTTTCTTCTAGAATATAATAAAACACATTTTCCTTGCGTATATCGCCTAAAAAAAAAAAGTTGGAAAAATGGCCGTTTTTGGACCAAAGCCGTGGGTTAACCCCTTTGGAAAAATCTTAATTTTTCGACTTGGTGAACTTCTTGTTTTTATGACGTAGAAAGTCGTTTTTTCGTTCTAGAATATCGTAAAACACATTTTCCTATTCTATATTGCCTAAAAACAAAAAGTTAGAAAAATGGCCATTTTTGGACCGAAACCATGGGTTAACCCCTTTGGAAAAATCTTAATTTTTCGACTTTTTGAACTTCATGTTTTTATGAGGAAGAAAGTATTTTTTGTGTTCTAGAATATCGTAAAACACATTTTCCTAGCCTATATTGTCTAAAAAAAAAAAGAGTTGGAAAAATGGCTATTTTTGGAACAAAACCATGGGTTAACCCCTTTTGAAAAATCTCAATTTTTCGACTTTTTAAACTTCTTGTTTTTATGACGTAGATAGTCGTTTTGTTGTTCTAGAATATTGTAAAACACATTTTCCTGGCCTATATTGCCTAAAAACAAAAAGGTGGAAAAATGGCTATTTTTGGACAAAACCATGGGTTAACCCCTTTGGAAAAATTTCAATTTTTCGACTTTTTGAACTTCTTGTTTTTATGGAGTAGAAAGTCGTTTTTTTGTTCTAGAATATTGTAAAACACTTTTTTATTGCCTATATTGCCTAAAAAAAGAGGTTGAAGAATGTCCATGTTTGAACCAAAACCATGGGTTAATCCCTTTGGAAAAATTTCAATTTTATGACTTTTTGAACTTCTGGTTTTTATAGGCTAGAAAGGCGTTATTTCGTTCTAGAATATCGTAAAACACATTTTCCTGGTGCAATTGCGTAAAAAAAAAAGTTGGAAAAATGGCCATTTTTGGACCAAAAGCATGGGTTACCCCCTTTGGAAAAATCCCAGTTTTTCGAATTTTTGAACTTCTTTTTTTATAGCCTAGAAAGGCTTTTGTTCGTTCTAGAATATCGTAAACCACATTTTCCTGGCCTATATTTCCTAAAAACAAAACGTTGGAAAAATGGCCATTTTCGGAGCAAAACCATGGGTTAACCCCTTTGGAAAAATCTCAATTTTTCGACTTTTTGAGCTTCTGGTTTTTATAGCCTAGAAAGGCGTTTTTTTGTTCTAGAATATGGTAAAACACATTTTCCTGATCTATATTGCCTAAAAATAAAAAATTTGGAAAAATGGCCATTTTTCGACCAAAACCATGGGTTAACCCCTTTGGAAAAATCTCAATTTTTCGACTTTTTTGAACTTCTTGTTTTTATGACGTAGAAAGTTGTTTTTTTTGTTCTAGAATATCGTAAAAATCATTTTCCTGCCCTATATTGCCTAAAAACAAAAAGTTGGAAAAATGGCCATTTTCGGACCAAAACCATGGGTTAACCCCTTTGGAAAAATCTCAATTTTTCGACTTTTTCAACTTGTTGTTTTTATGCCTAAAAATAAAAAATTTAGAAAAATGGCCATTTTTGGACCAAAACCATGGGTTAACCCCTTTGGAAAAATCTCAATTTTTCGACTTTTTTGAACTTCTTGTTTTTATGACGTAGAAAGTGGTTTTTTTTGTTCTAGAATATCGTAAAAATCATTTTCCTGGCCTATATTGCCTAAAAATAAAAAGTTGGAAAAATGGCCATTTTCGGACCAAAACCATGGGTTAACCCCTTTGGAAAAAGCTAAATTTTTCGAGTTTTTGAAGTTCTGGTTTTTATAGCCTAGAAAGGCGTTTTTTTGTTCTAGAATATCGTAAAACACATTTTTCTGATCTATATTGCCTAAAAACAAAAAGTTGGAAAAATGGTTATTTTTGGACCAAAACCATGGGTTAACCCCTTTGGAAAAATCTCAATTTTTCGACTTTTTCAACTTGTTGTTTTTATGACGTAGAAAGTCTTTTTTTGTTCTAGAATATTGTAAAACACTTTTTCCTAGCCTATACTGTCTAAAAACAAAAAGTTGGAAAAATTGCCATTTTTGGACCAAAACCATAGGCGTAGAAAGTCGTTTTTTTGTTCTAGAATATTGTAAAACACATTTTTATTGCCTATATTGCTCAAAAAAAGAGTTTGAAGAATGTCCATTTTTGAACCAAAACCATGGGTTAATCCCTTTGGAAAAATTTCAAGTTTTCGACTTTTTGAACTTCTGGTTTTTATAGCCTAGAAAGGCGTTATTTCTTTCTAGAATATCGTAAAAGGCATTTTCCTGGCCTATGTTGCCTAAAAAAAAAAAGTGGGAAAAATGGCCATTTTTGGACCGAAACCATGGGTTAACCCCTTTGGAAAAATCTCAATTTTTCGACTTTTTGAACTTCTTGTTTTTATGACGTAGAAAGTCTTTTTTTTGTTCTAGAATATCGTAAAACACATTTTCCTGGCCTATATTGCCTAAAAAAAAAAGTTGAAAAATGGCCATTTTTGGACCAAAACCATGGGTTAACCCCTTTGGATAAATTCCAGTTTTTCGAATTTTTGAACTTCTTGTTTTTATAGCCTAGAAAGGCGTATTTTCCTGCTGGAATATCGTAAAAAAACATTTTTCGGGCCTATATTATCGTTTTTTTTGTTCTAGAATATCGTAAAACACATTTTTCTGGCTTATAGTGCCTAAAAAAGAAAGTTTGAAAAGTGGCCTTTATACGACCAAATTGGAACTTTTTCCATTGTTTATTTTAGGCAAAATAGGCCAAGAAAATGAGTTGCACGATATGGTAGAAGGAAAAAACGCCTTTTTTGACTATAAAAAAGAGAAGTTAAAAAAGTCGAAAAATTGGGATTGTTTTAAAGGGGTAGTCCATGGTTTTGGTCAAAAATCGGAACTTTTGCTATTTTTTTATTTGAGGCAAAATAGGCCAAGTAAATGAGTTGCACGATATCCTAGAAGGAAAAAACGCCTGTCTTGACTATAAAAACAAGATTTTAAAAAAGTCGAAAAACTGGGATTTTTGCAAAGGGGTTAGTCCAAAGTTTTGGTAAAAAATTGGAAATTTTACCATCTTTTTCTTTTGGGCAAAATAGGCCAGGAAAATGTGTTTTATGATATTCTCGAAAGAAAAATCGTCTTTTGGATTATAAAAACAGGGAGTTGAAAAAGTCCATGGTTTTGGTAAAAAATTGCAACTGTTTCCATCTTTTTATTTGAGGCAAAATAGGCCAAGAAAATGAGTTGCACGATATGGAAGAAGGAAAAAACGCCTGTCTTGACTATGAAAAGAACAAGTTAAAAAAGTCGAAAAATTGGGATTTTTCCAAAGAGGTTAGTTCATGGTTTTGGTCAAAAGTTGCAAAGTTTTCCATGTTTTTATTGTAGGCAAAACAGGTCAGGAAAATGTGTTTTACGATGTTCTTTAAAGAAAAAACGTCTTTCTAAACTATGAAAACCACAAGGTATAAAAGTCTAAAAACAGGGATTTTTGCAAAGGGGTTAGTCCATAGTTTTGGTCAAAAAGTGGAAAGTTTACCACCTTTTACTTCTGGGCAAAATAGGCCAGGAAAGTGTGTTTTATGATGTTCTAGAAAGAAAAAACGTCTTTTTAGACTGTAAAATAGGGAGTCGAAAAAGTCCAAACAGGTAGATTTTTGAAAAGGGGTTAGTAGATGGTTTTTGTCAAAAATCTGAACTTTTTCCATGTTTTTATTTTGGCAAAAGAGGCCTGGAAAATTTGTTTTACGATATTCTAAAAGGAAAAAATGCGTTTTTGGACTATAAAGACTACAAGTTAAAACAGTTGCAAAAACATAGATTGAACAAAGTCGAAAAATTAGGATTTGTCTTTTGTCCATCGAATTTGTCCATTGTCTTGGTGAAAATTTTTTAATTTCCTGTCCTTTACTTTTTAGGTAAAATAGGCCATGGTTTTTGTTCGAAAAATTGAAATTTCCTCATCCTTACCTTTTAGGCAATATACGCCGCGAAAACGTGCTTGTTGGGGTTCTAAATAGAAAACTCAACCAGCGTTTCTAGACTAGAAAAACATTGATCGAAGAAAGTTGAAAATTTGCGATTTTTCCAAGGGGTTTGTCAATGGTTTTGGTTAAAAGAGGCTGACAAAACGTTGTTAGTGACGTTCTAGTTAGAAAACTAGCCTTTCTATAAAAACAAGAGTTAAGGTAGAATTAGAGTAGGAGAAGGTATAATTAGGTTGAGATTAGGTACGAGTATGAAGGGGTTAGCTACGAGTAGGCTACGATTAGGGACCAGTAACAGTCAGGGGTTATGTAGTGGAGCTTGCTCTGTGAGTGATCCAGGCCTCTTGGCGAAGTATAGAAATAAATAAATAAATATCCTACCATACATACCTATGTCACAGGCCATTATACGTAACCCCAGACATAATACCTACCCTTTGTTTAACACTACATAGTTTGGTCTAAACTATGCATTACGAGAGCAAAGTACGTGAAAAAAATAATCCCTCCTAACATGTAGAGTGATTTTACAATTGTATTTTATTATTAAGAACGCAAACAGGTACTTAACACCTTACAGAGTCGACTTAAATTCCATAATGTATTCAGGGGCACCCGACGACGAATTCCACCTTTTAAAATTCAAAGTAGACAGACTGCAAATTATCTTAGTTGCTAAAAAATATATATCTACGGGTCGCAACTGTTCATCAGTAGGATGCCTAAAATGCGTGCAATTCCACAATTGGTTTCGGCTCCATTAAATCCTATAAGCTACCTAGAGTACTTAAAGATATCTAGAAATGCACTCTAAGGGACGTATAAGATTCGTGTCTTTTCGGTCAGCCTAGAGCGTTTTGAGCCTTTACGAATATATTAGGGCTTTAGTATTATGTTGCCGAAAATTTTGTATGACATCTAAAGCGTTACGATGGTGAGAATTTTCTTATTCCTATTTTCATCACGTTTTCGAAACAGCAAGTTTTAGGTTTGTAGCTAAACCTGAGGAGTAAATCCAAATTCTGGAAATCGTACCACGAACATTCGTCCAGCTATAGATAGTTGTAGGCAATATTCGCTTCTTTGAACAGATATTTTACAAAAAATACCGTCATTGGGTGACCCTGATGCACCAGTAGGTAGACAGTTTTGCAAAGTATTTGTAATTGTCTTGACGTTGGCTTGAATCGCAAGGGACATTAAAAGTTCGCGAATGCATCTTTTTTCACTTCCGTTGCCGTCCTCAGTTCTTAAGGTCTATTATGCTAATATGAAAGGAAAGGTAAAGGAGTTGTCATCGAACTGCAGACTAACACACCTTACTATTCATCATCTTCATCATCCTCAACAAGCACACGCCTGGCTTTTTTATGATAATTAAGTGGCAGATTAAATTCTTCGTCGTCGTCGCTGCTATCATCTTCATCTTCATCTCTCGGCCGTTTCTTCCCAGCCTCACTTATTTCTTCGTTGTTATTTACGTCTTCAGTATCGGAGATATTTCCGTTGTCATCATCACTATCAGATACTGAATTAGCCTTTTTATCGGCGTTACTTGTGGAAGAAGCGACCTTGCTTCCATTGCGTTCTTCCTCTTCTTCACTGCCACCAGACTCAACCTCTCCATTTTGTATTTTGACTGAACAGACGTCGTCGTCCTCGTCACTTTCATCCAATGCTTTAACTCGTCTTTTAACTTTTTTCGAGGATTCCTTTTTCCGAGTAGCATTTTGTTCTTCAGAAGGTGGGGCTGCTTCGTCCATATCACTGTCTCTGGCACTTATGTTGTCGTCGCTGCAAAACGGAGAAACAAGCACACCAAATGTCACCATAAAAACGTTTTCTGCTTATCTTAATGATTTCGTAACACTATTAAGTTACGCTGAAATTGCATGCTGCCCGCTATTATATCCTAAACGTAACGATTCCCAAAAAGTAGGGACCTCTGAATAGCATATTTTGTTTTCCTTTTAGGGAAACTGAAGGAAAAGTTTCAATTCGTGTCACCTGTCAACGAATGCAACAATATGTTCGTCGTAAGTGTAATTAAAATACACGCTCTTAGAAACGAGCTACCTGTATCGTTTCCCTGGAGTCACATTCATGGGAATATATCACGGTTTAACATCTGGCGTCTTTTCAAATATCATTCCAAAAGGTTAAAAGTTTTTTACTTTCGACAGTAACAACACCCTCCCCGCAAAAAAAGAATTGATGATGATGATGACAAATATATGAATAAATAATAACTCCTTGTAAGAGAAGAGAGTTCTTAAAGGTTTGGAACTATAGGTGTAGTTACAAAACTTTATGGTGTGACCCAAAAGAAAAAGAGATAAACCACGAAAGATGTTTCTGCAGACTACTATAACCAACCTGTTATCATTATCCGAGTTCTTTTCTGTTGCTATTTCATTCACAGTTTTTCTCCATTCCTTCCCACCACTCCTCCTCTTTGTCCTTTCTCTTCTTTTGCGACTTGATATTGATCCACTTTTCTTTCGTGCGGCAGCTAGCGCAGCTAGGGTTTCTTTCCGTGATTTGCTTTTATTGGAGACTGGAGGACTGCCAAACTCCGCATCGTTATCTTAGAATAAAAAGTAATCCATATAGTGTTTTCACTCACGTGGCCAGGATCTACGCAAATTTATTAGAACAAAATAAGGCGTTGGCATAAGAAAAGAGTTCAACTCCCAGAGGATTGGTTTGGGACACCAACATGGCGGCCGTTTCATTGTTTTGGGACACCAATATGGCCGCCGTGACGTCATGTGAAAACACTCTGTATGTGCATTCTTTACTAGTAATGTAGTCTTCGCGAATCTACAGGTGAAGGAAATCCTGCAGAGTATTTCATGCGTTCTCCTGATAAACACACACTGCAGAAAGTGATAGTCATTGTTCCATTTTAAGTTCAGCCTTGTAGAGTATGAGTATCTGGGCGAAATCATATAATGTGGCCATTCAAAGGAAAGCTCCCGACTTTCCTGTGGTACTCTTAACTACAACGTAAAAAGTCGTCGTCACTTTTGGATCTGTGGATGAAATTCTAGTGTGACCTTTCAAATGAAAACTACTGAGCAGTACTTTCCTGTGGTACTAATCATTATGTTTTAAGAGGTGGTTGTAAAATTTGTGTGTCTGCAAGAAATCATGTTATGGAACAACTCAAATGAACCTCGTTAGTAGTACTTTCACTTGGTACTTTGTATTCCAGAACTTTTCAAAATGGGACTTTGGATTTTCGCCTCAATCGGATTTACTGAAAGTTTTATTAAGGACCTCAGTGATTGTTGATCAACTCTCATACCTTCGCCCTTTTGAGGAACACCACTGCCTTCAAGGTCCTTGGCTGCCCTTCGAAGTTTTTCTGGATTAAGATTCACGGGAATTCGCCAGAATGTTTCCTGATGACGGATTAAGATTGATTTAAGTTAGATAGATATACGTTAGTTATTTTAATAAGTGCTGGACCCTGATTTATGAAAGACAACAACCATAAGGGAAGCTCTTCGTCATAAATACTCATACAGACTCACCCACACTTATTAGGACAGAAATATTAGAAAGCATGGTTGACCCTGCTAATACCACGCCTTTTCGTTTTTATCGCATATCATAATTTTCAAGGCAAACCAATCCCCCGCCCGATCAGATCATCCCCAGACATTTGCGCTCCCTGGATCACATCATCCCTAGATCATCCTCAGAGACCCAGGGGCAGTCAGTCAGGTTGGGAGAAAAGGGACAATGAAAGTTTTTAAGTATGGGCGGAAGAACCCCTGGTTACCGACTCTCATCAGACCATTTCCAAACAGTTAAGCGAATGCTGGCTCGTGATTGGCCACAGAAAATGCTTTGTATTATTGTGCCCAATCGGCGAACCATAACAGATCGAGTTCTTATTCTCGACTCCCAGATTAAATCATCCCTAGATATTCATGCTCCCCGGATCAGATCATCCAGATATTCGTGACCCCTGGATCAGATCATCGAGATATTCGCTACCCCCAGATCAAATTATCCCCAGATATTCGTGCCCCCCCGGATCAGATCATCCCCAGATATTCGCGTCTCCTGGATCAGATCATCCAGATAATTATTTGCTACCCCGAGATCAAATCATCCCCAGATATTCGTACCCCCAGATCAGATCATCCAGATATTCCAGGCCCCAGATCAAATCATCCCCAGATATTTGTGCTCCCCGGAGCAGGTCATCCAGATATTCACAACCCCTGATCAGATCATCCTCAGTTTTTTGGAACCCCACCTGTTCGTTAGCTGGTGGCTTGAGCCCAACTTTCATCAACGCCTTTTTGAAAAGCTTGTTAGCCATCGCCTCTTCATTCTCCTCTGTTATGGTAACAACTGGAAGTGGCTGCCACCGTTCCTTGTCTAAAAAAAATCATTGGAGAGTAGAAACCTAACTTAACTGTTTTAAAAAATGACCCACCGTTACCGTTGTAAAACCAGGCTAATTTGTATTTGCGTCTATTCACCATGTCAGGTTAACCTAAACACATGCTCCATTTTCTTTGTGTTAAAAAGGATACAAAGACAATTGCCATCAAGTGAATTCTGTCAGAAGATGAAAAGGAAGCAAAGATTACCTGTACTTTCTCTGTCATCCGCTGTCCTTTGAAGTTTGGATTTAATCCATTCTAACTGTTCGCTTAGCCCTAAAAATGAATTAATGCACTTGTGATCTTTACTGCTAAAACCATTCTATTAGATTTCAGAGTGAGTAATAATCATATCCTAGAAACTAAAACTAATGGGAACGGAACAAAGTACCCTTTTCCTTGGCTCTGTACAAGACAGACTAAAGGATGCGGGAAACAAATCTAGGTGTCTGCTTAAAGAAGGTGTTCGTGTTGTATGAGCGGCTATTAAGGGTGAGTGAACTGTAGTAGTCTCGCCAAAGGAAAAGGAATGAGATGAAACGAAATGAAAATGTCCGTTTTTGAAAGAACTCAGTTTTGATGGATCTCGCAGGGCTTGAGAAAAGTCCGGGACGAGTCATCCTCCAACTGAATCATTAACTAAGAGAAGCAAGTAGTTAGCAGAGAGAGTTATTTAATTCTGTCATGATAATATTTAGAGTAAAAGAGGTTTCAAATCCCAGGATAGAAAACTTCTAAATAGGAAAATAGTTGCTTCAGGCAGGCAGAGTGTCAAAGCTGCTTGCCAAAAGAACTTGCTGGAATTCTTTGTTGTTTTTTTTTTTGCGAGCTCTGTGTTGGCCATTTACAAACAAACCCTTACCTGCAGTTTTTAGTTTACTGATGATGTTATTCAAGTTATCACCACTACCATCCAAATCCTCATCTTCTTCAGAATCTTCACTAGAGGAGCTTGGCGGGCGATCAAAGCCTTCCTCTCTGTCACTGTTATCAGCTACGCCAATGAGACAGCATGGTATAAATGAGTATACAGTCCTCATGTACAACATTGAAAATGGGCATGCATTTGAGTGGCTGTAATCTACTACCAACTTTACCTTTCAAAATGAGTTTCCGAGACACTTTAAATTCTATATTTTAGAAGACTGTTTATTCGCCACATTAGAAAACTGAACACATTAACTCTACTTTTTACCGTAAGAAGGCGTTAACAGAGACAGAGAAGAGTTTTTAACTTGGCTTGCATAACTTTCAAAAGCCCACGTGGAATGATGAATTCGGTGAAATGTAAAAAGGTCCAATCTCCTTTTCCAGCGCTAAAAAACAAGCTCTCCCAGTCAGTGTTTCTCCTGTATTAACCCTTTATACTACAATAGTGGACAAAACTTTAAATTCGCGGGCCCTTTTTCAATTCAAAATGCCTAAAGCCACCTCCACCCCCAAGCAACGTTAGAAGCTGGCATCCAGTGAGGAGGGAGAACTGCAAGCTATTTTCGAACAAGATGCACTGTTTTAGGAGAGCACCCAGAAATTATAGAAAATTATGAATACTGCACTACTGTTCCAAGGAATTTTGTCCAGGATCGTAGGTAAAACTGTGCAACAGCACCAAACGTTCTCGTTACCTTCTTCACTGTCCTCGTCTTCTACATCATCATCCTAAAAACACCAGAAAAATAGACAAACAAAACCCAGTTTAAGAGTGAATCAGTGGGTAGGTTAGGATGAGGAAGTCATCACAGTCTCTCATTTAGGTACCGACTGGTTGCCGTGCCCTGTTTAAAAATTAGGCTGATTTAGTAACAGAACGGGAACGTCAGTTGACGACGAGAAAGCCCGCGGAAAGGACTAAACGCTTCTTCCGGTGCCCAATTTGCCGCTCTGCGATTGGTCAAGCCAATTGTTGGATTTGCGCGCGCCGTCATCAATTGATGTTCCCATTCTGGTCCTAAATCAGCCTACCATGTCACCGTGAAATCATTATAATCTCCCGGTAATCTACCACCAGTTAGAATTTGCAGTTCGCCTGTAGCTAATCAGAACCTACATGGGACAACAGGTCAATAATAATGCAGGAAATTTAACAGTCACTGACATACCACAACAAATCCATCATCTTTCTTTCTCTTTCTTTCCCCCTTCTTCCTTTTCTTTCGCAGCAACTTTCTGTCCTCAACGACGCCCAAGTTTACCAGCTGAGTGACAACTTGGCGTCTTGTTCTCGATGAGTTAAGCATGTGCTCCATGATCCTTTCCACGATATCTATCGTACAAAAACAGTGAACCCAGACCATTAGCGTGAGGGGGAGGGGGGTATTCAGCAAAATTTTAAGTTGCGTTCCTTTAGGATGATCCGGATCAGGATCAGTGATCCGAGATCACTTGGATCATAGGACAACAAAGAAACCTGACAAATCCACCCTGGGTTCATCAGAGTTTATTTTACCTGCCATGATCCTAGTGATATCGGATCACTGATCTTGATCTGGATCATCCCAAAGAAACGCATCCTTATCAGGGAGGCTCCGCCCTGTGATCCAACCCCTTCCCCTTTCAATTTTGGCAGAAAAGGTAAGCCTTTCGCACACCTCCATTGAAAACCTTACCTCTTTAATATACCTACTAATAAGAATAACTCCCTATAACAGCAATTCCTTTTGTAATTTTTGTGTAACATTTTAATGGATTAAAATGATGTAGCCATAAGCACGTCTTTTCAAAGTATTTTAAACAAAGGACCTTTTTGATGATAGATTTTACTACCACTTTATGTACTTTAACTTGTTAATTCCCTACTCTATAATAAACCTAAGCCTGAAAAAGGTAGCTCTTTCAGGCGAGTCTCCCCGTATAGACCATTATAGGGAGTACCCCCCGGAACAGACAATGATAGCCCGATACTATGAAGTCCAATTTTAGACGCAAGAGGCAAGATATTGAAGCGACATTTGCCATAAATAACAGTAAAATTAATTTCAAGCGTAAAGGTCTGATATTTTTAATTGAAATCTGTCACATAAAACAGTAAACCTGATTTTACATGGATATTATCTTACGAGGTATGAATTCCTCCTACATGAGCAAAGAGACAGTGATGGTGCGAGAGCAAAAAAGGGTTGGCGTTCCGTTTTGTGGCAGACTGAGTGCACGCTTGCGGCATGGACATTTAAACTTATGGCTTAGCTCAGAAGCACAAACCTTCTTCAGAATTCTTATATTCCTCATACAAAGCTCTCAGGTGTTCATTCTCTTCCTCCGACCACGCTCTCTTCTTTACTGGTTTTCTGCACATAAATAAATAATAATCATTAACTAAACAAACGAACTTCTTACAGACATGTTACGAGCGACAAATGGTAAAGCTGACCTTTCGATTGACAATTTATCATTCTCTAAAAGTGCTTTGAAATTTACGCCCGCACATAAACTAGAAGTAATGTATGGTTCAACTTTTACGTTTACGCGTGACACTTCTTACATTCCCTCTTTTATTTGCCTGCATAAATTTCAAGCGCATACACACACAAAAATTACGCGACAGTGGAAATCCACCATTTCTCTTGTTTTCATGAATGTAAAGAATTATCCTAACATTCAATAAGCAAATGTAGTAAATTGAGGGAAGATGTTCACCTGTTTATGTTTTTTTGCCGTAAACATTATGTTCGATAAGTTATAAGTTTTAAAACACTTGATGAACTTTTCGAGCTCTGACAATAAGTAATGTTCAAACATACTTATGAAGTTCCTTTCTGTCTGTAACCAGTTTTAGCGTCACTAGTTTGTTCATGATCTGCAATTAAAAAGTTAACGTGACACCATTTTCTCAGGCCATTGCACACGAAGTTAATAAAATGCAGTGGTTATGAAGAAGAAGTTGCCTCATAGGGTTTGGGCTAGGGTCCCGGATTGAACTGCGGCTAGCCTCTAAATGGAGTGGGCGAGAAAAGAGCGCGCCGGCAACTCACCATTGGTGTTGAGTTTACTCATGATGGGTCAAGAATGTGACACAGACATTTTCAATTAACCAAGGGAAGTAGACAGGGTGCTTAGCATTTGTCAAAACTGCCCAGCCAGACCAGTCCAGTCGTAAAGAGAATTACACTATTAATCAGGCCTATTCATCCAGATCAGTACATTACCATATAGTTCACAAAGCAGTGATGACTTTTGGAAAAAATTTTGAGAAATTTCACAATGCCCGGTTCTTCTGCCCAGTTCTGACTTTTGTAAAGCGCTAGATACTACTCTTCCCTTAACTTAATTTTCACTTAGGGAAAAACGTTGGTAAGAAGAGGAATACATGGGCAGGTTCTAAGAATTTTATACTAATTCACCTTAAAAACACAAGTACCTGTCGCCTATTCTTGGAATGACTTGACATCTTTTCCATAATCTTGTCAACGAGATCTGATAAAATCATGAATGAAACTCTTAGCTAGAAGACTACAACTCATAATGACCAAGGTTAGGGAATGCGGGTGAGATCGATCGAAGATAAAGACGCTCTTGCTCCAAATCTGTCCTTTGCGCAATTTTAATCAGATTACGAGTGATAGAAGGTCCAACTGCGTGTGATCAGATTGCGTTGTATCCATTCCATCAATTTCCATCTATTCTGATGGAAGTCCAACTGGCTACACACGTGCCGCGCATGAGTATATTGCGGCCTGGAAATAAGGATTGTGGGCTCCTCTGGTTGCCAGCAAAAATTTAACATCAAACTTAAGGGTTCCAAAAGCTTTAGTTTTTAGAGGCTTCTACCGCAACAGTAATCATTAAGGTTTTAACAACACTAGGCCACATTGACGTAAATAAACTTGTTACTTGATAAGGTTTGATGCCAGATGTTTTGACAAGCAAATCCTTTAAAATAGTTATACAACCACTGGTTAACCTCCTGGTAAACAAATTTGCAGGAGAGATATTACAATCGAGGAATATGGAGGTTTGTGATAATTTCCACTAACACTTTCATTCAAGGAAATGGGCCATTCCCGTGTTGCCTCAAGCCTCTGTTTCAGAGTGAGGCTAAGTGCGAGGCCATTGATGTGAAAATGATTTCTTATTCTCATGCAAACAGCTCATTTTCACAAGAAAGGTTTTACACTTAGCCTCGTTTATAACGTGAGAGTTTTTGGAGCTCGGAAACTGCCTATTAAGGACCCTTCGACAAACAAATATTAAAAGAATTAGCTGAATTTACTTTATACTTCAGGAATTTGTCTTTCTCACATGCGAAAAACACAAGATGGTCGTCAAAACTAAAAATGCAACGCATACCATCTGAGCCTTTAAGTTCCTCGTACAATTCCCGTAACTCTTCTTCCTCTTCAAACGTCCATACTGCTGCATTTTTGCTAGCATTTCTGCAAGAAATAACATGTTAATGCCTGACTGTTTAGTCTGAGAAAACAGCCGACATTCCGCAACGCAGACGTAATCTAACCCCGGTTAGTGACGCCTGTAAAGGAGGGACAATAACCTTGTTCTGGGCCAGACACAACGAATTAACGGAAGTGCGTTTCGATTTTCCCTTCAACCTGATTGGCAAATTGACAATGGCTTTTTTAACAGGCCAATCATGGCATGTACTAAAATCCTGGTACACAGGTGGTGGACCAGAAAAGGATTTTGGCGCTGGCACGCAGACGGAATTAACCAGAAGTTTAGTTCCACATGTGGCGGTTTCTTATCGCAACAACAAAGTAGGTCTTTATTGTTGCATGAAGTGAAGAGTTGCATGACCTTTCTTTCTTTTTCATTATTTAGTGCGCAAACCTCAAATGACACCTGGCTTCTGTTGAAAGCACTGTTTTCGGTAAAATATCAAAAGACGGTTTTTACCTCAACGCCAGACTTCCATAACCTTCTTCTATTTCATAACAATCTGTTGCGGTCTTCCAAACCACGAGCTCGGCTAGAAGCACTGGGTTGTTAGGCAACTTCTCAAAAAACTTAGCAACAATATATCTTGAAAACTTCACCATCTCCTGCGCAAAACAATCACATCAAGACAATTATATACTTTTTTACCGGTTTATTCGCCTTGTTTACCTTTGTGATCAAAAAAGGAACACATACAATAAACCTAGTATGTTGTTCTGTCATCTGGCGAAAATCAAACCAACTTATGTACTTACCGCAAATCCTCTATTAAGCCCCCGGGGGCGGGGGGGGGGGAGGCGTATTTATTTCAAGCCCATTTGAAGGGGGGCTTAATAGAGACGAGGGGCTTACTTAACTTAGAAATGACGATGGTATGAGTTCTCCATATAGAACTAGAATACAAAGTGGAAAAGCTCGAGTGCAAGATGTTTTAGGTCATGCAGCCGAGGATCAGAATAAAATCCGAACTTCCAGTTGGTAAATAAACCATCCCGGATCAGCCCACGCAAAGTTCTACGGTCGTGATTGGTTAATACACTCTATTATTCATTAGTGAAGAAAAATTAGGAGTGGGTTAGGGTTAACTTAATAGAGAGGGGGGGGGGGGGGGGTTTTTAACCTTTTTTTCTGAAAAAGGGGGGGGCTTGTTGGGGGGGGGGGGTTTTCTGGGGGGGGGGGGGAAAGTGGGGTTTCGGGTAGGTTATTAACGAGGGGGGGGGGAGGATATAAGGTGGGTTTTGGAAATAATGAGGAAGAAAGGGGAAAAAACACCCTGAAAAGGGGGGCGCTTATTAGAGGGAGGGGCTTATTTGAGAGGGGGGCTTAATAGAGGATTTACGGTATGTAATTACACAGGGCGCAAGTAGCAATTAAGGCTGGTCTTGAGACATAATGCAGAAGAATGAGCATAACCAACATACACAGACACAGTAGTGTCCCGATTCAGGGCTCCAAAGAAACTTCAGCTTGTCCTTTAGGCAAGCAGCTCTCACATTTTGCTTACCTGGGGCCACTTCTTACTCAACTTGGTTAATGATTTAATTAGAGGATGTTATGGCTGGCCCCTTGCTGATTGGGCAAAAAATTTTAACATTCAGTTGCCCTACGAGAAAATATACTTGTCCCAGACTACACGACGGGACTTCTTTCGAGCCCAGCGATGATTCGTTTCTTTTGTTTTACGAAAGAAGGCACTAATTTAAAAAATTTAACTAATTGAGGCTTTGTGGATTGCCCTTGTGTCACGATCTCCAGTGGGATTAGTCATGACACAATGAGCGTTACCGAGATATTTGAGGTGATCAGTGTTTCTGGATTTGAAAGTAACTGAGTATATTTTGTTGTGTTACAGTCGCTCAAAACCGGGTTGCTAAGCAAGTCACATGATCATCACCATCATCATCATCATCATCATCATCATCATCACCATCATCATCATCATCATCATCATCATCACCATCACTATCACCACCACCACCATCACCACAATCATCAGCCACTTCTGAATTGCTTCACTTCTTCATCCAAAGAATAATATTTACTGATGGATGGGAACCCAAAACGAAAAGAAACATGCGCACTTTCTTGCAAAATCAGACTGGTGAAAACAAGCTCCAACCTTACCTTGTACTGGTTTGCTGCTGGATCGGAGAGAATTTTCTGGAATGTTCTAAACAATGAAAGCTGGAACAGCATGGATGGTGTCTTTAAATCAACAGCAACGCGGTGCAGCATCTTAATGATGGCATGGTTGGTCGCTTCTTTGTTTTCTTTGTAAAATTTTAACAGCCAGCAGTAAGGCTGGATGAGAGAAGGGCTTGCAAGTCTACAACGTATAAAAAAGATAAGACAAATTTAAACTGATTAAAATTCATCATGGTTTAACGAAAGGTGAATTCTTGGTTTTCTTCCATCACTGATTATTTGCATTAAGATTAGGTTTAGCCTTTATAAGTTGCCAGACCTCGTATTTTTGTTCAGATTGGAGAATAGTGTTTTTTTTTACTTAGAATGCAGAGTAAGAAAGCGATTTTACTCACTTGTTAAGAAAATCTTGGATGCTAAACTCGGTTTCACGAGTCTGTACAGCTTGCACCTCTTCTTCCTCTGAAAAACAGCATCGTCAAAACCTTCAATGATCTAGCTCATTAAAAGTAATTTGTTGACCAGGAAACACTACAAACCACACTTTATTGACCGGTCGTGGAAGTTATTGACAGAGACAACCGTTATAAAAATAAAAGTTTCTTTGTCGCCTTCTCCTTCATTGTATAACTAACTGTTATTAAAGGGGCTATCTCACGACGATATTGCTGATTATGGTCAATTACAGCTGTATGTGCTAAACTCATTACTCTAGAATTACGAAGAATTCACCAGGGAGCGCTAACCATAATACTTTGTTGGTGATTTTTTGCGGGCATAGCATTAAAAGTTGAAAAAGTTGGCTGAACATTTTCAAGTTTCAATCCATGTCCATTCTCGCCCTTCATTGGACCAGATGACACGAAACAGTTTCCACGCCTAAATATAGTCTTGAAAAACAAAACTGGACAATTACTTTTGGAATTTAATCGATGGGGGAAACGTTGTAGAGTTTAAAGAAGAAAGCAAACAGCATGACATAGCCACTTTCACAAGGAGGATTGGAAGAACCCATTCATTGGGTGGGCCAGTACACTGCCATTTGCTTCTCAACGACAGTGCAGATTAGAATCTCGAACCCGCCAAGAGTACAGAGTGCAGTGACAGAAACAGAGTGCTAAGTTTCAGTTGGTATGAAAAAAAGACACAAGATAGCTGGCAGCAGTGACTCTCGACTCTGACAATGCAATTTCGGAAAATGTAATGACCCTTTGTTTTATTATTATTATATAGGTGTTGATTGAACTGTACAATTTCACTGACCTGGGAGGGCATCCTCTTCTTCTTCCCTTTCATCTCCTTCATTTTCAGGTGGAATTGTCACTGATAAGACATATAAAAAATAATATAAACAAATGCCAATAATATGTACAAATGCAATATCTTGCCAGGACAGTGCCTAATTAAAGATGGTGAAGTGCAGTGCCAGAAGCAGGGTAAACAGAGAGTTTAAGGTGGTATACTGGGTGGAAAAAGGTCATTAAGGCCCACATGGTTAGAGCTTTACAAGGTTTTGGTGACATAGAGCACCTTGCCTTTGGGTATTGCCACTCCCCGCTGGATGAGACACTAGTCCATTACAGGGCTACCCATCCAGCCCCCCCCCCCCCCCCCCCCCCGTGTGGGGCCCCCCCCCTTTCAAAACAGGGGGGGGCGGAGGGGGGGGGGAGAAAATATTTTTTGTAGCCGATCACTGTCTCCACAAAAGAGGGGGGGAACCATGCATGCCCCACCCCACAGAAGAAGAAGAGACAAAAAGCCAAGATAACGATAGGGGATGTTTGTGCTGTAATGTGAGACAACACGGGGCTTAATGGAGCATCACCGGTGAAAACAGTTTGTTTCGACAAACTTAGTTAGTGCTTTACACTTTTTTTTTGACAAAGACACCATAGCTTTTTACATTTGACGCTCCCCCCTTCTAAGGTCCCACGTATTCTCTCGGTCACCCCGTCCATCCCCCCCCCCCCCCCAGCAGTATGTTGCCGGTACCCATTTATACAACTGGGTGACCAGAGGTAAAGTGGAGCAAATTTTTTGTGTGAACCTAGACTGTCAGATCCAATAGAGGGGTCAAACTGCTTGGCCAACACACGCAAGGGAAGGATGCCACAAACATGTTCATCAGATCCCAAATTAATTGTTTTGGCATCATTTTGATGATGAAGAGAAGACACTTTTAACATAATGAAAACACAAATACTCTAGTTTGAAATAAAATTGCCATAGCAAGGGTTTAAACCTTGTGCATCAAAACAAGAGGGAATTGTCTACCCAAATGCCCAAGCAAATTCGATCCGGAACACCCATAAATTTTTTTTGTATTAATGTTTGTAACATAAAATGATTTCCTGAAACCTTGACACTACCCACATTGAGTAAGAGCAAAGAGGTACCTGTATACCTGAGAACAGGGAAGTAATACCATAATGTGAAATGGATCATGCACAAAGCATACTTTGTTGACTCACCATTAGGTAAAGGCATTTTGAAAATATCGCACACACACATGAACTCTTCTTCAGCACCAATTCCAACAGATCCAAACTGATCGTCTGGCCATACATCTCTGAAGTGAACATCAAAGAAAACTTATAGCCATTTATTTAACATAAGCAATTTAGTTTCAAGTTTAAACTGGTGGCTAAAAAAACATGAAATGCAAGGAGAGTGAAAAATGTTTAAAACCATAGAGATTATTGCATAACACAAATAGAGGTAAAGTCAATGTTTTCGGAAGATCTATAATACTTACAGGGCTTCTAGATTGTCGGATGAAATAAAAAAGGAACTGGACAGATTGTCAAAAAGGAAAAGTTTGTAGAAGTGTTTCCCCATCACAGACCCCATCAAATTATTGAAATTTAGCTTGAAGAGTCAAAAACCCTTCAAAAAATAAATGGGACCACATTTGAAAGCCTGGGCAACTAAGTACTTTCATACCATCCTTGTCGTTTAACCTTTACCAAGGCTAAAATGTTTTTTGTCTTTCCCTGAGTATGCCCATTTCCATATCAGATGGAGTTTCACATCTCTCTATTGCATACAGTTGTCTTGGCCCCAAAGATACCACATAGCAACCGATTGTTAGCTAGTTTTCCAAAATTTCCTAGAGGAATAAATGAACATTTACTGGGTTCTGGATTAAGGGTGTATTGACATCCACACCCCCAACCTTGCACATCTGAGAGTAAAGTCCAGACCACGTTACCATTTTAACACTTTACCTTGCCGCCCTGAGCAATGCAATAGCTTCACCAGACTGTTGATTTCTAAGAAATCCTTGAATCCGAGATAAAGCACTTGTCCTGCAACACACAAGACATGGTTGTGAAAACTAGTCTGTCAAACGTTTAATAGAAAATCAATGCTGCTTTTGGTAGTAAATAAAAATGAAGTGAGCCCAATCCTCTGACCCCGTCAAATCCACTATGCCTTGCATAAGATTTCTACAAAAACCCAGAGATTTTCTAGTTGCCCAGGAGCAAAAGTCTGGCATCAAGGGCCACCAGGTGCGGCTAAAGCACAGCCCTGCCTACCCGCCAGATTTTTACAGAGAGCTATACTCTTGGCTCAAGTAAATGCCAGGAAGTCACAATAATTATAAATTGGAAAACACACATAGAATGGAAAAACAGGGATTACTAAAAATCATATAGATATAATCAGTTGCTCACTTCTGTTCATCAACGGGAATTTCGGATGCCGCATCAAAGGGGGCCACAGACTCAGGAATGTCCCCTGTGTGACCTTGAAGCATTGCTGACAGATCTGATGCCAAATCTTGCCACATCTGGTCAATTTCCTCTGGTGTCCAGTTTGCTGAGGAATCTGAGAAGACAGTAAAATAGACAGTCATGAATGCATAACAACATAAGCTTGCCTGTTGGTGTAATAAATTAAACTTAACAACAACACAGCAAATCTAATTAAAGATTATTGCTGCAGTTCACATCATGTTCATTCTAAATAAAACACAAGGCTGTGCTCTAAGGAAAATCGAAGGGAGCTTAGTGCTCTAAACCTGCAAAATTTAGGCTGCCCAGCATAGGATTTGTATGAAAAAACTAAGATTTTCTAGTTGCCGTGAGCAAAAGTAAGGTGCCAGGAGCCACCAGGAGCTGCTGGAGTACAGCCCTGAAACAGCAAATGTCAAAAGGTAAAGGTAAAGAGTCCTAATTTTACGTTTGTAGCTGGAAATAGTCATCTGATTAACAAACCTGAGGCCGAGTGCTCTGTGTTATGGGTATTTAAAGCTACTTAAAACTATGCGGAAAGGAAAGAAGTTGAAAGAACGATTTAATGTCACACTTGAAAATCAAACTCAGGACCTCCCACACAGAAGGCCATGCACCAAGTAAAAAGGGAAGCTTACTTGAAAGTGGAGTTCTTTTCTTCTTCTTTGAAGCCTTTTTCTTTTTCTAAGACCAACAAAATAATAAGTACAAATCAGGCAAATTTATTATGTTACACTATTAGCTAATGCACCTGTACTTAAGAAAAACTGTATCTGTTACCAGTAGCGCATCCATGACATTTTGCACAACCCCTTAGATTGTTTGGTTGTACTTTTCCTTTTCCAGAAGTTAAATGGAAGCACCATACTAGTACAAGACTAAAGTTTTAGGATCATGTATCTTTTGGGGGACTGTCATTCGATGTATCGGCCGACATCTTGGTCTACTGTTGATCGGCATATCAGCCGCTGTCAGCCAATACTCGGTCAACTCTCGACTGACATCTCGGCCAATACATTGATCGACAGTCCCCTAAAAGATACATGATCCAACTTTTATTTAACCACATTGGATCTAAGAGCTACTCTATGCTTATTCCACTGTGTATCTGAAAAGATATGCAGCAATTACTGTATAATATTATAAAATAACAGATACTGTACCTATTTTCACAGCAAAAAGTTTGGTATATTGCTAAATGAAAATTCAACCCTTACCTGAACCACTATATGAGATTTTCCAGAGCAGTATTTTTCTAACATTTTTAAGAAAATGTGAAAAGCTTCGATCAAGTCTCTCAGGTAGCCCCTATAACAAGAACAATATTCATGCAATGTCATTTAGTTACTTAGAAACAGGTAATACATAGATAAAACATCTACAGAGTCACACCAAATTCCTCTGATGACTTCCAAAGATAGATTTATGCAGTTAATTTTGGTCCTAATCCTTATAGTGGCTGGTGGATAGCACTGTCCAACTTACAAATAACTGGGGCATGGAACTAGTTGTTCTAAGGTGGAAAAAAAATACTAGGGGTATTTTGCAGAATGCCGAATGCTAAATGACTCTGAAGTTTGGTGATCAGGGTTAGTACAAGAAACTGAGTGAATAAACTTAATCACTAAACTTCAGAGTCATTCATTGTTCTGCATCCGGTGTTTGGTGAATGCAGAACATTGAATGACTATGAAGTTTGGTGATTAGGGTCAGAAAACTGAATGAATATATTAAGGTTTCAGGTCTGTTTTCCCAGTTTAATGACCTTAAACGGAACCTAAATCACTCACTTTTCTAACCGCAATCACTAAGTCAGAGTCATTTGGTGTTCTGCATTTGACATTCTGCAAAATACCCCTGCTGATAATAATACCCACTGGATAAATAATTCAACAGTAGGTAATGCAGTTAGTATTTCTTCTCCTTATGTACTGGATATAAATGTTTCCAGTGGACAGCACTGTGTAACTTGTGAACAACAAGGGCCAAATATTTTCAGTATATTACACCAGCCTTTTGCTGGTTTGCAACTTTTCATTGAGATAGGAAATCTTCAATCACTTTAATATCTCACAAGCTGTGATCTGATTTGACCTTACATGAATTGCGGAGAACTTCTAGTTTTAGTGCAGATGCATGAGAAAAAATCATGAAAGTGTTTTAAAATTCATTAGTGTGAAAAGGGTCTTGGAAAAATAATTTTCATGTGACTTTTGAACGTATTCAGAATTTTGCTAAACAATGCTTGTAGAAAAAAAAATTTTATTTACTGCCTGCAGTTTCACTGCATGAAATATCACAGCAATCCAAACAGAACATCAAATAAGACACACATGTATGTACATACACAACAACACACTTATACAATAACGTATCCATACTTTGTATGTTTTGACATGTGAAACTTCCTCACAAGTGATAGCAATGTATCTCTGTACTCAGACATGTAAAAAATGTTTCCTGAAAAATCAGAAATAAACATTGATCTAACATTCATCATAAAATTACAACAAGAAATCCCTAGTTTATTCTTGAATTAATATTGCAGTACAAATATGGATGTAATGGCTTAACATTATGCTTTTCATCAACAACTTTACATTTCATCTACCTGTCATAATAGTAGTTAACACCTCTGCTTACCTTTAATGATCTTAGCATTTTCTACCAACGTTTCATCATCAGACTTGTCCATGTACACGACATTCAGAATCAACTCTTTGTAAGCTTGAATTGCAAGGTGTAGCCTACAAAGGTATATGTTTCATTATTGTGTTAGTTGACTAATTAACTTTAGTACCTCTCCCATGGGCCTTAACCAGCCTAATAAACAGAAAAGTTAAGGTTATCCATATTGCTATCATCATGATCTTAATGGCATTATCATCATCATCACCATAATCACCATCAACATCATCATCATCATCAGTATCATCATCAACAACATCATCAAGGTTAGCATCATCACCATCACAACATTTTTCTTAATTCAATGCTAATGGCAGTATTATTTAAGCAATAGAAAACGTTTTCCGTGTTTGCATAGCCTGATATAAACACGAGAGGGGTTGGGAGAAGAGGAGTCGAGGGTTTGCATAACTCTCGAATTCTCCCAATGCCTATCAGGCTATGCAAACACAGGAAAAAAGTTTTCTATTGCTTTTATAAAATAAATTTCCCGAGGAAAAACGAAAAACTCTTTGTATGGCAATGATTAAAAGAGAAATTCTTACCACTCGCAAACTCTTGTCCACGAAGTCTTGCACGTGTAATCAGTTCTTGTTTTGCAAAAAGATGCTTTCCAAAATACAGACTTTTCTCGCTTAAAATGTCAGCCGATGAAGGAATGGGTAAATAAAGTAAACTTGTCGAGTTGTGAACTTGAAAACTTTTTCAAATTCGTGCTTGCGTGATTCGCACGCGAAAAGCAAAACATCTTGACGCCACAACCATGTTTACATACTCTCATGCAAACACGCTTCTCAGCCAATCAGAGCGCGCGTACTATCTTAGTTATTTTATAAAAAGGATATAACACAGACACAATTTCTAATTTTCTTCCCTAACTGGAATTCAACTTCTGTGGATTGTACAAACTGACCAAGGGTGTGATTAAAGCCACAGACACAACTCACTATATGAAAGATGTTTCACTATTGTGTCCAGTTTGGTTGCCCTGATAGCTTTCTAGCTATTCTCTGGTTGAAGAAAACCTTTTAACCGGGATAACTCTTACCTCCTTCCCCAGACAAGGGCTTCACTTTTGTTTGATTCACATCCATCATAAAATTTGATGATGATGTTAAGCAGGTCTGTGAAGCTCACCACACTAAGTGTCTCACTAAGAACATAAACAACAACAGCACCATGTTTAAAAGACAATGGACATGAAATGACACGAACAGTCTGAGCTTATCCTCTATTAACGGTAAACAGTCTTCTTTTAAACAAGTTGTAAACCTGCTTCCTGTGTAATGTAATCTGTTTTCTTGAAGATGTTAACAGGAAGCGCAGACTTCAGCATACAAATGTAAAAGGCACCAGTGGCAGGTACTATCAGTCCATTTATGAGCTTAGTGTAACCCACCCATAGCCCATTACATGAAAGATATGTGATGCGTGAAAGGTAGACTACACCATGGGGGGGGGGGGAATTTCCCTACTCTTTCCAAACAGAAGTGTGGGTTCTTTATGATCCCTTCGATTTTGACCAACAGAAGAAGGATGAAGAAGACAAGGCCAACAGCTTAACGTAGCCGGCCAAAGACGGGATTATCTAAACTTTCATGGCGCAAAAAGAATTTTTACGACTTGCCCTTCAGATAAGCTGAAGCTTGCAAGTACTAACCCAAGAGTCATTTTAACTGGTCTGACAAATTTATGATGAGCAGTATTTAATATAAATTAATCATTAATTTTTTCATTAATCATCAGATCAATTTGAAAAAAAGCCCTCCACCCAAAAAAATTAATTAGGTCTTTAAAGAAACGCCTCAAAAAAATTCAGGACTTCAATGGGATTTGAACCTGTGACCTCGCAATACCGGTGCGACCCTCTGGCCAACTAAGCTATGAAGCCACTGATGCTGGGAGTAGGTCAATTATGTGTTCATAAGTTCCCATGAAAGAGAAGAATTGTGACAAATGCACATGAAATAAAGTGAAGAATAACAACAATTTGTCTCACAGTGCTTCAGAAGTTTGAACCACCCCCCCCCCCCCCCCCCCAAAAAAAAAAAACAAAAACATCCACCACGCCACAAAAACCACAAAAACAACAAAAAAAATTTTTCTTCACATATAATTCTATTATCTTTTGCGACAACCCCAAATGTCATCGGTAGGGCGACAAAGATAGGTAGTGCAGCGAGGCCTCTCTACCTACAGTTAAACAGACTCTAAGAACAACACTAAGATCGGGACGGGCACGTATTGTACTAACAACATTACAAGAAAAAGAAAAAAATTGTACACATAGACAAAAAAAAAAGTTGAAAAAATAAAACATTTGTCCGCACAGTCTGCAAAAGATTCGACCCCCCCCCCCCCCCCACAAAAAAAAAAAACTTCACTTACCCGGGCAAGTTAAGAATACAAACAGATCAAACATGACTTTCTTTGCACACTGATGTTTACCTTATATAGTCCACTCTGAAGTCATGGTGTCTGCTGAATTCCATAAAGAACCTAGAAATAGACAAAATTGCCAAAAATATTGTACATCATAACATCAAAGGGTAGCATAGAAAAAAAGCGTTCTCTTGCAAGTGACTTTGCATATCTGGTTCATTTGATCTTTTGTTTAGCAACTACATGAAGGCAAAATAGCTAGGAGAGATTTCCACAGAACTTTGTAGCCCCTGGCTACAAAAGCTTTCATAAAATGATAGCTTTTGGACTTTCTATAGACTATTCATAGAGGACCGTTTTGCTTCTACCTCATGGCCCACAGGAAGTATGTTTCATCATTTTCTTGTGACCTTCCATGCTTGAGGTTATCCTAACGACATAAGAACATAGGGGCATGATAAAACAAAATCAACTTAACACTGAACCTTGCCTCAAGTAACTTTTATGTCACTTGCTACTTACTACATTTGTTACAATTAACTCTGATGCAAATTATTTCTAAGAAAATTCTTCTCAAAACTTCATCGCACTTGGGTGCTTGGTTGGCTTCAAAGTGTACACAACACTTTCTTAAGGTGCCTGCGTGATGCAAGTAAGTCAGTGTGCTGCTTTGTTTTAGTCCAACGTACTCGCAAGATGCAAAGTCATGTGGCTACCCCGAAACCCGTGACCTGCTTGTTTATGAGTTGCCCATAGCACAGTGGTTAGAGCATCATACTGGTATCTGGAAGGTCATTGGTTTGATTCCTACTGGGGGCTCGGATTTTTTCTGAGCATTTCTTAGTTTCGCGTAATATCTATTTGTAATTCTCCTTGTAACCCGGTATTGAGACTCTCAATTATGAGAACAGTAGCTCACAGTCTCAAGGGTGTCAGCAATAAGGGGAGTTGACTTTAAACTAGTTAGTTACTATTAATGACCACTTACCTTAACTACAAGCATTAATGGATTGTAGCAATTCTGTAAGAATCCCTTACAAAAATTTTTCAGAAACAACCTTTGGGAAGAAAAAATAAGATTCAACTGGTTGGCACGAATCCTTTTGATACAGTCATCATAATCATGACAGCTTGTCTTGTCCAGCATTGTCGAACTGATGCAAGTTGTAAAGACAGTTTTACAACACATGCAGGTGGGCAAGTTGTGTCCATTAGACAAGTCGAGTTTTCATTAGTAAAAAAGGCATCTCACTAGTTTACAGCAGGTAATGTGAAAAGTAATTGAGTCATGAAGTTTCACAGGTAGACAAAAGCATTCTCTTGATTCTTAATTGGGACACAAGATACATGTGAACTCTACACTGGAGAAACTTAGAACTCAAAGGATAGCCATGTTACTTCTTTCTCCAACTAGCGAAGTACCCCTGTTGTCTTAACTGCCGTTGTTGTCCTACACCATTCATAGCTGACAGTATTAGACAGCTGCCCATAATGTTATACTATGGGAAATGAAAATTGCATGCCCATCAATGCACACACCTTATGCTCAAAGTGGATCGCCTCTCATCTCCCATTTCTTTTGCAGGTAATTGTTTTTTCCTCTTCTTTGGTGCTGTCTTATTGTGATCAAAGGTCATATTGTTTACCTCTATGTCACAAAGAAAGAGAAAATATAGTGTATACAATTGGAGGTAAACAGTGGACACATGGCAAGCAGATCAGAGCCTAGCATATTGATTAAGACAGATATGGGACCATGTATATCCAGTACTAATTAACAGTTAAGGGATCCAACAGCTAGCAGTGATACTGACAACTGCTGAATGAACTCAAAGAAACAATTTGGAGGGCTGTATGCAGAGCATGGGCCTAATAGCCTTACTTTCCTTGAAGTCTAGAGGTAAGTGCACACTTGAGTGTGGTCCACAGCCAACAAAATTGTCCGCAGCACAGGGATTGTCATTAAGTGAGGATGGGTTCTACCTAGTCATCTGAACTGTCTTGTGGTCCATAAAGACGTTTCAACCAAGCTGTGATTCCATTTGGACTCACAAAGGTTCTGTGACTGTTTAACCAACTTAAGACACATGCTGACATGCCTACATGTTACATGTAATCAACCTTAGATGTACATACACTGTAAGTCTTATCTAGAAATAACCTTAAAAAGGGCAGGCCAGCCTGGGGAGAATTTCTTTGGGAAAGGGATTCCAAGTGAATGTCAGTGTTTGAGAGCTGATACATGCTTAATGGAAATTCAGAATTCAGAATTCTAGAATGTACTACAGTTGAACTTCTCTACAACGGCCACCTTGGGGACACAAAAAAGTCGCCATTGTAGAGAGGTGGCCGTAATTGTAGAGAGGTTGAAACAAGAGTGAATGTATGGACCGCCTGCCAAAAAAAGGCCATTGTGGAGATGTGGCTGCTAGTGGACGTTTGGCAGGAATATAACTATTACTTTTAACCATATAACCACACTATTGACATTCACAAGTATTTTAGTCACTCACCAGCAACAGGTCTGTGATATATAAGGTGATTCTGATCATTTATAGACTTCATATTCTGCACATAAAATGTTCCTCCAAACCTAGAATGTCTAGGGTGGAGAGAAACTTATGTGAACACCACAATTATTGTAGTTCAACTAGAAGGAATTAACCACTGCTCTACATTTTTTTGGCAGCTTTAGTGGTTCAAAATACACATTGGTAGCTAGGAAGATGATCAAAGTGAGATAACTTAAAATTTCAATACTTAGAAGTAAAAAACTAATCAGACTTTAAACTCAGGTTCAAGTTCAGTGTTCACTGTTTCACCACCTCTACACCAAACGGCTATGGTATTTTTTGCTGCCGTCATCTCATATGTAAAATGAAAGACATCAAAAATAATTATCCTTACCTGCCAGAAAACTTTCTTGCATTATTTAGTTTATTTGCAAGCTCTTGCTGATAAAGAATCTCCAGTTGTCTGGAAAGGATTTAAGATGCTAAACTTAGAAAAAAGAAATAAACTGGAATATGAAAATTAAACAAAGACTGTAACCTCTTAATATTTTAAAGTACATTAAAATTTAAGACTTTGCAGGCTCTAATATGATGACATTGTGATGAGTAAATTTACTTAATTTGTTCAAAAGAATGGCTGTAATTTTGTACCTTTCATCTTCCTTCTTTTCATTCCTGGACCTCCCTTCGCCAGCCTTGGCTAGCAATTCTGCATTCTACAGAGAACAAAATAGAGAAAATAACCCCTTGCAAGTAAAACTTGACAAAAAAATCTTGCTTTACTTATGTGTTACTTGGTTGAAGAGTCATGGAACCTTTGTGAGTCCAAATGGAATTACAGTGACTGTAGTTTTACTATTGTAGTACATGTATATATTATTTTAGGGTGATTTCATTGAAGCATTAAAGTCATACAATGTACATAGTTCTGAACAACCCTTAATTAAACCATGAATGTGACAAGATCATTAGAGTAAAATAAACAACTAACTGGTAACATGTATTAAGTGTGAATCCAGCGTTGTAAAACCCAACCTGTTCTCTCAGCATTAATGAAACAATTTCCAGTACATGCATGCTCCAACGTCTCTGCAAAGGGACAATCCAAATCAGTTAATAAAGTAGGAAACATCAGTACAGTATTTTAGAACATCACAGTACACCAGACTTCTCATGTGTTTCTTTTCAGTACCATTGAACTACCATATAACAGACCTCTTCACAACTCTGACCTTGTTAAAGGGGTGGAAAGATGTGTGTTTGGAAAAATAAACAGGTGTAAACAAACTATAATCATGGACAAAAGTCTTGGGACACTTGCATTTCTGGGTTTTTTTCCAATTCACACAGATCCAACCCCTCCCCCCACAAACAATGTTGGATGCGTGTATCCAGAATTTTTTCTGAGTTTCAACTTTGTATAGGGTGGGGGGAGGGAGAACTGCAAGAAAATTTCGAAAAGGATGCACTGTTTTAAGAGGGAACCAAGAAGAGACAGAAAGATATGAATGTTACAGTACTGTCCCAAGGACTTTTGTCCAGGATTGTAGATTGGACCAGATGAAAACAACTCCTCTAACTTACTAGACGACAAAGTGTTAGGGATAGGGTTACAGGGGTCGACAACCAAAAGTGCCCATAGATATGTACAACACTGTATGTATTCATATCCCCATGAAACATTGTTATTAACTGTTAGAAAATGTCCCACCTCATCTGGAGAACTTGCTATAAAGAGCAACAGATCATCAATTCCATTGGTATGGAGATTCCTTTAAAAATGAAATAAATAAAAAATAGGCCACTTTTATTAAATAATCTGGTTATTTGTTCTGTTCAACCACGTACATGTACTGGTGGTACAGAAAACCCTTCTCAATATGGGCATTAATTAAATGAACAGAACCAAGCATCAACTTTAAGGTGTCTGTATTGCAAAGCTAGAGATTATCATGAGATAATTATGAGGTTTAATGTCTTTAGGACATTGATAACTACCTGGAAAATGACAAAGAAAAAAGCCCTGTATTGCAGAGGTAATGCTGTAATTCCTTTCAACTACAGCTGGACCTCCATAAAAAGACCACCTGTTAAGCAGCCACCCCCTATGAAGCCACCAGTAATCAAAGTCCCAAAATAACTACGGAAAATAAATAATTTTTTTTGTACTGTTGACTCCCGCTAATCTGAACCTTCAAGGGAAATAAAAAAGGTTTGATAAATCGGGATTTCGAGTTATTGAGGGTAAAATTATATAGAAAATGATCTGAAGGGAAATGAAAGTTACTTCGAGTTAGCGGGAAGTTCAAGTTATAGAGGGTTCGAGTTAGCGGTTCCAGTTAGTGAGACTGTAATAATAATTATTATTGTAAATTGAACCTTTATTGAGGGGCCACCTCTATCAAGTGGCTGCGGCCACCTTTTGGCCATTTAAATTGTTCTGCTATCGTTGTCACCTCTGTCAAGAAGTAATCATGTGCTTGATACATCTAGTTTCAATAGGCTTTATTTTAAAAAAATATAATGAAGGAAAATACAGTCGAAGATAGCCACTTGATGGATGTTCAACAGTAGTTAAAAAGTATCTTTAACTTGTGAGACTATATTTTCAGGGCTGTCATTAATAAAGAGGCGGGGCTGGGGATTTCCCCCAGCTACTAAGAACGTGGCCTCCAGCTACTTTCATAGGAAAATAGAAGAAAAATAGAACTAAAAGAAATCCCTAGCTGTTTGATTCCCACTTACTTGTTGTATTTACCCGGCGACGTGAAATCTTAGTGACAGCCTTATTATTGCAGTTATTTTATTATTATTATTATTATTATTATTATTATTATTATTATTATTATTATTATTTTTCTTTCTCTGCTGTATATTTTGTGATTTATGTGGTTAATAAAGCATAATTAATAAAAAAAGAAAAAAAAATTAGTGACAGCCCTGATTCTCAATCTTGATTAATGAACCTACCATATAACCTGGTCATGAATGCTGGCATCGTCATCTGTTCTCTTCATTTACAAGAAAAACAAAGTTAACTTTTTCTGGTGATTAGATTTCTTTAAATCATCTATTACCTCCCCCCCCAACCCAGGCCTTATTTTATACATTTGAGGGGGGGGGCTTAATTGTGCATAAATAAAAAGAAAGCAAAGAGTAGCTCAGGCACTTGAAGCTGGAGGTAATGAATCCGAAAATCAAAAACAAATGTGAACTTCCACGTGTGAACAAACCATACAGGAGGGTCTTGATGGGGTTATCCTTCAGCCGTCAAATGGCCTAAAATCTAATCATCCACCATCGAAAAAGGTGAAATTTTATTGCTCTCACTTGTCAAAGATGGAGATTATATTACCCGTCAAAATGTTTCAAGGCATTTCAATCTCAACAATTCAGTTGATCTTTTCTAAGGGTGTGAAACATGAATAAACAACTAATCATGTTACTCATAGTCTTTTTACAAAATAAAGAAAAATGGTAACCAGCTATGTACAGTGTTGGAAAAAATCAAGAGGTGTAACTGACAACACTGTTGAGGTACACTGGCTTCATTTGTTATTAAGTGAAATGTGTAATACAGTACATGTACCTTTTCTGCCTGCTTATTAGCTGGTACATGAAGAATGTTTCTAAGCAGCAACAGAATTCTCTCAACCAACAGAGAGTCTTCTTCGAGTCGTTCATCCCATTCCTGAGAAAACAAAAGCCATTAAGTCAAACAAGAAAGAAAATAAACATTGAACCACTGATGGAAAGGTTTAAATCAGAAATACCGGTAGTCTAGTTTAATTTAACAATGTTCCTACCATCTGAAGTAACCTTCCAAGCTCTCGTCCAATCACTGACATCACTTCTTTTTCTGTGAAGGCCTGCAGTGTGGATAATGTCACATGAAAAACAGTGCAGGCAATAATCACAAATAAATAAGCTATGGAAAATCTTTTTGCAACAAAGTGGAACCCCGCCATATGGCCACCTCGGTAATAATGGTCACCTCGTCATGAAAGCCACTTTATTTCAGCATGGCAAAATGGCCACACATGTTCATTTGCTCATAAAAACCCTTGCTAATATGGTCATTGGTTAATACGGCCAGTGGCCACATTTTGAAATCCCAAACAGAAGAATCCTTTATAATTTCACCCCATTGACACGGCCATGCACTCGTTTGAAATGTAGAAAATTAAGGTGCCCATGAAAAGTCATATTTCAGTAACGTAGTAAGCTGAGTCTGTTCTTGTATTGTTTTTAGACTACAGTGCATTTAAAACGCATTTGTGGGGGTTAAATAGCCAATTTTTAAAGGTGTTTTACGTACTGAAGGAAAGTTTTAGTGGTTTTTACAATAATACTATACGTGACATCTACATTCTGGTTGTTTATTTAAGAAAACATTGGTGCAAGAACAGAGTGTGAATGTGATGTATGGTGAATCTGCTCTTACACCCTTAAGTCATGAAATTTGACCCTGCCCTGGTAATACGGCCATCCCATTAATACGATCAAATTTTTTTAACCATTGTTGACTGTATTAACGGGGTCCCACTGTACGTAAACAAAAAATGATTCAGTATTGTAAGGAAATGGGCAGTTAGTGGCAAAACAGACAAAATCAGTCTTGCTTGCATCAGCTCCACATGCTTAGTATAGGATTTCACGGTGGCCACTTGAATTTTCTTTAGCCTTTAGATCTTGCCTCCACCCGGCCTCCCCTCCTCATTTTTTCAGTGTAGATTGTATGAAGTTAACTCTCTGTAAGATGTTTTGGCTGTTTAAGAGGTGTCTGTCTTATAGAACTGAAGAAAGTCCTGTTTATAGTGTCCATTGCTGCAGAGATCGAAGTATCTCAAGAATTGTCCAAAAGGGGAAACTACATGTAGCACAACACACCCATTAGAGAAAAGGTTGTACAATTTACAATGTTTTTGCACACACTGATGTACAGCATTTCTTTCACTGCAAAACAGCTCTCTTGCAGCTAACAATAGGCTTCTATCTCTGCATTTAAAGTCCACTACTGTACCTCTTTATAGGACTGTAACTGGGTTACAAGGTCCAAGTAATAATGCTGACCGGTTTTGTCATCTGGGATGTTATTTCCAAAGCACAGCACTGCTGGCTGAGTCAAATTAACCATTAACCTAAAACAAACAAACAAATCAAAAATCACAGACACAAAAACAGTTGTTACATGTATAACATGTCAGAAATGGAACAAGAGAAAGACAGTCCTCCACTTGATTTGCTTCAGTTTTATGGCAGGAGCCATATTACACTTTACCCAGGGGGAGATAGAGAATACTCAAGTATCAAAACAATGGAAAGGTGTCCAACAATCCAAGTTTTGGGGTGGTTGGTTTGGGGTGGGAAATAAGAATTCTTATGTGACATTTTTAGAATGAAAGAGTTTTGGAAAGGAGACTTCTTTGGGAGAATTGACCCATTCATCCATACTTTCACTCTTGTTTCAACCTCACTACAATGGCCACTTTCTTCTGTCCCCAAGGTGGCCGTTGTGGAGATAGTACCTAGTACCTCCACTATCGCAATACTATAACAATATCTGTGTGACCTATTGCCATACTTATTGCTATTAAAGATTCCTCAATAATCACCCCTTTTTAAAGCTTACAAAACGTACTTGGTCTAGGCAAGTCATTCCCTAATAAAATCATTAACTGTGAGACAAGCAAGAAGTGGTCCTGGGCAGGCAAAATGTGAGAGCTGCTTGCTTAAAGGAAAAGCTGTAATTCAATTTTTCTAGCTCTGCTGTCATATGACTTTTATGAAAAATTGAAGATTTTCCAGTCGCAAGGCACTGGCCATTGGCACTACCTGAGCACAGCCTTTGGGCCCCTGGCCATAAGTATTATTGTTTTTGCACTGTTGTTGTTAGAGAGCTTTAGACTCAAGGATGAGGACAACTTTACTTTAGTTAACACACTTATTTCTGTTGAAGGAGGTAAAGCCCTCTCTTGATCACTAAATGATAAAATTTCTAACATTTGATAACTCGTTTTCGCCACTATGACGTTCTCACTTAAACTCGTAGTCAACTGACAAAGGCTACCGCATTTGCCAGCATCTGACGTTGGTTCATACACGAGCACCACTTATAAGTATTGGGAAAAAACTTGTTTGCATAGTCATCCTCATCTGAGAATCTAAAGCACTCTAAAACCCTGCCATCATGCTACAATGCAAAGATAATACATCAAAGTTGATAATAGAAATAAATAGCTGTATCATGCAAAAGTACTGGAGATCATGAAGGCTTCATTCAAATGGTTTAATCATAGAATAATGTTATTAGTAGAAGTACAAATTAGCTCCAAGTACCTTATCACCATGTCAAAAATCTCTCTTTCTGTCGAGGAACAGCTTTTAAGAATTGCCACCAGATCCTGAAAGAGAACAATCATTGGATCTTGTGTAATTTGTGCACCCCTCAGTTAAGTATCAGTCGACACTATGGGCCGATACTTGATCAAAAAATTGGCTGACTCTAAATTTTGCCATACCAGCAGACTCCTGTTTGATCTCTTGGCCGACATCAGTCAGCTGATAATTATGTCGAGCAATAGAGTGTTGGTCAGTATGTTGGTCAGTATGTTGACCGATAGTCGGTTGACACATCCATCGATAGGCTACTGTCATTCAGCCGATACTTCACTGACACTTAGTTGACGGTATAATTTTTGTCTACTCAAATTTTTGTTGTTACATTGTCCATGCAGCAATTTTTAAGAGGCTTTCGCATCTTTTACCAGTCTAATGTGAGAGTATAATAAAATTTATTTCAAGTGTGTGTGCAATTTTTTTTGGAAAAAATAGGGACTGCCATGGCATTGCCTTTGAGAGTTAATAATCCTTTCACTTGGGCAACAAGTACTAACCTTTAACTTGCTTGAATTTTGTTTAATAACTGAGTTTTCAAGATTTTAAGGAAATAATAATGTTATACCTGTTAATAGTCTTAAAAAAATTGCAAAAAATAAAACATACATTTTGCAGCACTTCAGAATATCCAAGTTGGCGTCTTATTTCACACGTGGTGTCATCACGCCTTAAAAATCTGACCAAGTCTTTGAGGCTCTCTGCAAACATCAGAAAACATTTAATTCATTTATGGCAAAAAAGATTACTTAGTGTACTTTATCAATTAATGCATGAAGGTTGTTTTGTTTGGTTTACATATTAGGGTTAGCTTTTTATATTTTGGGATTACTGCCCATCACAGAAAATTTATCAGGAAACACTCCTGTGATCCCCAACCATTTGCATTGAACGATGATCAACACACTGGGAAATGCAATAAAGCAGAATGTGGATCACGGATAAAATTAATCTATTTGCCCCTGAACCCCTGTAACCACCCATGCAGATCCACATCCCTTCTAACGCTTTTGATGTCATCAGTTTTAATGGTCAACAACAACTTTGTCATTTAACTTGTGCTGAGGGAAGAGATCTTTCAAACTATACCACAATGAGAACATTAAATTTTCAGTCAAGAAGACTGGAGAAAAAGGCTGCACAGTTGATTGAATGACATTAGTTGTACAAAAGGGTTTTCTGAAATCCGGTGTTGTTCAAACATTAACTGTATTAACCAGTATTCACTGACTGAGAATAGAGGTCATAACATGATTTTGACAGGAGACCAGGAGGAGATGAAGGATGAGAAAAAGAACCAGAAAATGATGTCATGACTATCTGTTTTTAATGTCTGCTTCTAAATTCAAATAATATTCACCATTAACGGAAATCCAAAAGGAAAATCTTGTGTCACACATTATGAAAATAGTAAATCACACACCACCCTACTATGATTAATCCAGGGTTTTCATTAAGATTTCTAGTAGTAGGAGACAGGTGTAACGTTACACCAGAATATTTTGAAAGAGGCTCCTTGTCTGAATAAAAAATAGTCACAGGCTACCAAATGTTAGTCGGAGAATTTTTCATAGTAAACAGAGAATTCTCCGATCTCGATGCCTAATGAACACCCTACTAATCACAACTCATGCGGCCAATCTGGGCCCAATCAAGCATCACGCCGCTTATTTGGGACCCACAAGTCACTGAATACCCCTTTACCACCCTGAGGCATGGCAAACACCATAATTAAGCTTATATTTTTGTTGAAGGTAAAATCTGTTCTCAGGTAAATACAGAATTGCCTTTGTCTCTACGAATAAAGGGCTAAGCAATTAAGAGAATTCAACATAAAAGTGGGAAGAATACTGGCTTAACCTGAGAGCAGATTACAGCAACAACATTTTCACTTTTAAGAAATATATCCACTTTGCAACCTACCTAGACAGTCTGGGCTCTTGTAGTAATCGCTGCCTTCCGAATAACCAAGACCAGCTAAGGTGCAAACGATTTCTGTGTTTAGACAATCACCTAGATCGTTGAGATTCTCCATTTCTGTTAAATCAAAGTATAAAGGTGTATGCTTTAAGTGTTCTTTCAAAGAATGCAACTGGCAGATTGTACCCAAATATAAAATCGGTGTAAAGAAACGTTCGTGAACTTTAGATCGGTGTAATTGGCGCTCCTTTCAGATACAGTTGCGTATTGGTGAGAGCTTTTCTACTACTGCATCTGCAAGTGGCGTCCATTGGCTTAGAAGCACGTAGAAAATCAACATACATGTATTCCATTATTCAAAACGACGGATGGTGCATCACAAACCATCGACATTAAAGGGTGTTCATGTAAGAGGTTTATAACATCAATCGAACTTACCTTCTAACCAATGAGCTCCTTTAAGATAAACGGATGACCATTTAAACGGTGGGAAATGTCAATTCAGAGGTTCGAACGAGGTAAAGAAGACAGAGTTTCATCAGAAACGCGACGAAACCTTCGTCACTGGCTGAAAAACGCGCCAAAGTTGTGCCTCGATATGGTGCAGGCCAGAAAAACTCGTCCCAGTCCACCCACTACGTACCAACTGTTCCACCTATCTAATCACTGTCAACAACAACAGTCCTATTTAGGACTACGTTCACCCTGACGATCAAACTCAACCTACTTTTGAAATGACTCCTGGGTTCAAACCTTTCACAGTTTTAGTATCTAAATACTTAGGTTGTAAATTGAAACTACACATTACTACAACAACCTCTGCGAAAAAAAAACAGCAGTTTGAATTTGAATAACCAAAAAGATCACAGCGATTTTGTTTGGATGGAGTACAGTTCAGTTTTAGCTATCACGAAAATGATGATGTTACAAAGATGATGATGATGATGAAGAAAAAGACGGGGACGATGATAATGTAGGCTGCGAGCGGTTTTGCTCAAAAATCTGTGCGCGAGGTTGACATACGCGCGGGTGCGCGAGCATCGGTTAAGTACCTCATATATGGTAATCATAACTGTACCGATATGAAAATGCTATCTATCTAAAATAAATTTATACTTTGCTTCTTTATGGTATCTTTCTTAAATTGGGTCTTTGCACGCTTGAGCACCAGTACTAACGAATAGAAATACTCTTTTCCCTCACATATTTTGGAGCAAAGGAGTGACTGCCCACAGTATAACGATGATGTGTTGATGATGATAATGGTGATGATGAGCAGGAGGACGATGATAATAAGTAATGGTAACAGGACTGAGTGGAGTCCAATTCGGTCTGTAATCATACGAGTGATTATTAAACAAAATCGGACGACCGCGGTAAATAATCTAATTTCAAAGAAAATGGTCTAGCCTAAAGAAGGTTTGAATTTCAAGGACTTTTCAAGACCTAATAAAGAAATGAAGTACTTTTCAACCGAATTCAAGGGCTTTTCAAGACGACTACTAAAATTAAAGACCTTTTCAAGATTGTAGGAACAATGTAAAACGTAAAGGGAAGGTGAAGGAGAATCGCGAGCACGCGATAATTAATTTTAATAAGTATTACTAATTTTTGAACCAGTTTTATGGAAAATATGTGACAAGCCTCCTTTTTGTTTTCAATAATGTCTCCTGTTAACTGATTAACTATGTAATCCTTCTGCTGCCAAGAAGCTCTTCAAAACCTCTTCATTCATTCGTTCTTCCTGGCACAAAGCTCAATTGTTTCAGGGCTAAGGTTTACTGTTTCTGTTCCCTGTTTATCTTTCACCGTGTGATGTTAACTACTCTGACAGCCTCCAGGCGGCCTCAGGCCCCATTTATATTGAGAAAAAGGTTTACCAGGAAAGATCGAGGGTCACCCTCCTCTTTTTATATTTTAGCGAGTTTTTATAGGAGGAAACAATTGTTGATCATAAATCCACTCTGATGTAGAGAACATTCAAAAACCTTTATTTTCACTTCGTAATGGATGCATGACGATTATTTCTGGTGCCTTAAAGCGACCAGCAAAGATCAATAAACTATTTCGAAGGTCCCTGTACACGTGTGATATTTTATCACGTGCACAAGCTTTGCTTATGTGCTCATATGTTAAGTTTGCATTGTTGTCCTTTCAAAAAACAGACAACAATTTTCCATGGTCTATACAGTCGCCTCTCTCTTAACGGACAGCTCTATAAGACAGACACCTCTGTAAAACGGACACCTAGAGTTGGTCCCTCCCTTTCTTTACTTCCTTCATTTGACTCTCTTAAAGACCTGCGGGGTGGGGGGGGGGGGGATTTTACGAGTCGTGGCTGTGGCCTGAAGCATGCGGTACATGTAAGTGGACCTCCCAGTTGTCGTGCTGCCGTGTTAGCGCACGGGTCGCTGCTGCGTAGCGTGGTGGGTGGGGTAGGGGGGGGTGCTTGTGTGACTCCCACATAAAAGTGAAGGGGATGCTCATCAGAAAATTCAAATTAAACCCCTAGGGGAGACCAATGTGGGTGTGGCTCAAGCTTAAACTGACCCCTAAAGGAGATTTCCGTGTGGTCTTTATGCACAGTACTATTAACCCTTTAAGTCCCAAGAGTGACCAAAGTCAATTTTCACCCAACTATATCCATACATAATCAAGAGAAGACGTTGTGAGAGCTAATAAAATCATCACCTGATGGGAAAAGCTTTGATCTACAAACAAATTCTCACAACTTATTCTTTCAGGAAATATATGGAGATCAGTCTGGAGAATTTGTATTTGGATATTGGGGCTTAAAGGGTTATTAAAAGAGATGGGCAAATACAGTGACTTTCCATTAAAAACACGCTAAGTGAGACCAACATCTGCAATTTACACCCCAAAGTGGGACGATGAGCATCCCTGTCGCTTTAATATGGGAGTTCCCCCCTCCAGAAATAAGATTGACATCTGTCTAAAGTGGACACTTAGTGCTGGTCCCAAAGATGTCCATCGTAGAGAAAGGTGACTGTATGTACTCTCATGGATACCATAGAAATGACATCAAAATTTTCAAAGCTTAAGTGAAATTTCACTGCAAAGGTAACAGTCCATATTTTATGTGAATAACTCTTAACAGTGCTTAAAGTGACAATAAACTAATCCTGCTGTGGCCTCCGAATATCGCAGAAAACAAACTTTCTTTTTTTAACATGATTGTAAATCATAATACAGTGGAGCCCCGCCTTATGACCGCCTCATTATTAAGGCCACAATCTTTCGACCCAAACTGGTCATTTAATTAATAATATTTGAGGTTCCCGTTAATACGACTATCTCGTTATCATGACCAGGATTTTATGGACCAACAATGGTCACATTAACGGGGTTCCACTGTAGTCATGAAATTGATATCAAACTGAAAGTGAACCCCATTTAATTATTAATCTTCCTCTCTGCCCCTTATTTTCTCCTTTCATAACTACCAAAATTGTACTTGAGTTCATTATATTACATTACTTATTTTATTAGCTTTGCCCTGAAGAATAGAAAAAAAAAACACTGAAGAATGCAAACACTAGTAATAAGAACGTACCAATACACTAATAATAACTTAAATATTTCAGCAGGGACACCGCAACAGCTAAAGCCAATTACTGCAGACCCAAAAAGTAAAAAGATTTGAAAGTAGCAATTTAAATCACATGCAGCAGCTAATTTCTTGGTCTAAAAACCTGGCTGTTACATTCCAAGCAAATACTTTTGAAGCTCCTTGGAGAGTCTGGGTCATATTATTGCTAGAGCCCGCAAGTAATAACTGTAAAAAACAGACTTAAAGTTCTCAAAAGTAACATTATCTCCGTCAAGTCTAGTAATAAGCAGGTTCCAGATTCTGGTAGTTCTAATGAAAAAGATTGAGAGCTCGTCACGGATATATGGGTCCTTCGTGCGCGAATACAACAGACGGATCTAAGAGAATCATATTATGTCTAGCCTTGTAAAAGTATACTAGACCTAGTAACTCGTGCCAGTAGCACACAGGAAGTAGGTTTAGCAAACTTAAAATATAAATATATATATATAGTGGCAAAAAAACTTGTAAATTTTACATCCATTCAGGCTAGACTTATAGAGACCTCTGGGTCAACCTTAAATAGGGTACCTAAAAATGGCTTTTAAAGTAAAACTTGAACCACAACATATTTAGCCTATGACACAGGAGTTTTTAGGGAAGTCGTACAGTAATACCCTGCGACTACATTGTAAGAACCTGGATTTTAAGAACCTGTTAGGCTAAAATTTGCCAGTTAAGCCCCCTCGATATAAGAACCTGTTTAGTCTAAAATTTGAAACAGGTTCTTATTTTCTAAAACCTATGAATTAATTCTGTTCACTAAAGAGCAAATAAGGTGAGTCAACATTCAGTATTCTCTTTGGAGCCTTAGGTACCTTATCACTCCAACTGCAAATAGAATATTATATAATTGTATGCAGATTTTATGTGAGGAAATATGGAACCACTATACTCTTAGCTAACGTTTTTTTGCTTCAGAAAAGAAGAACCTATTTAAGAACCTAACTAGGCTAAACTTGAGCTAACTACCATTTATATATGTATATAAGAACCTGTTCAGGCTAAATTGGAAAAATCCTGCTTCATAGTCAAAGGGTTTTACTGTATTTCCACCCTATTTCCTCCTTTGTGCGTGGGAATTGCCTGAGTGGGAGGCTACCACAGATTCGTCTTGTAAATCAACTGGTTTTTATGAAATTTAGAAAATGAGAAAATCTCTACTGTCGTTCAATACTCTTTGGCTAATTTACCCCCTCACAATTTTCCAGACTATATACAACGGCGTGGCACTACAAAATCTTAGGAATTAGCAAGAGCAAGGTACAGGTGGATGCTATGTAACTGTCTAGGAAACTAAGCTTTTCAAATTCTTCCCTGCACGTAGATATGAAGACGGCTGCTCTTTTGTACGTAGTTCCTTCTCGTCACCAACGACCTTTCTACATGGCCTGGGAAGAGGATTTATATCTGGCATCTTGTACCCAATACTAACCAAGTCAGTTAACCAGGCTTCTGTCAACATGGCATCATTCCAGCCATAGAAGCCTTGTTGTGCAAATGCAATGCTTAGGTCAAGTGCTCTGCTGAAGAAATCTGGTTTGTCAGATTTCCACTCCTTTAAGAACTTAATCATTCCTGGGGCTTCATAATAAAGCAGTTTCTCCTCTTTGAAATCTAACAAGTAGTTGTGTGCATTTCGAAATTGGTAAGCATTTGGCCCAAAAAATGACAGTTGCGTTCCAACATCCCACATTAACCGCTGATTCCAGTAGCCACGCCAGATGTCAGTTACTCGAAGAGTCACCGTTCCTGGTAGCAGCAGTCCCCACATAGCCCTGTGCAAGAACAGCGTGTTTTGAGAATTATATGGAGCAAAGGTACCCTGGGGAAGTACAACAGGTGGAGCATCGCCATCAAACTCTACGTCAAGATCAACACCTTTGTCTTTTCTTGTGAGTCGAAATATTGCATCTACATCTGGATCTCCATTTACCACCCCCTGTTGCACTGACGTGTCCACTCCTTCGCATTCGACAAATGTTCGAGCCGGGGGTTCGCTAATGAAATCTAGGGGGTACCCCCGGGGCCAAATGGTGCTTTGTCCAAAGTGTTCATAAGGATTTACCACAGGAGAATCAGTCTTGTAGACAAGAAATTTTCCAGAGTCTTTCTGATAGAAAGTGATTTTTCCTTCTGTGGGCGAGTTATCATCGTCTGTTTCATAGATCATTTTTGCACCATGTTGAATAGCATAGAGGTAACCCATGTTCTTCCGAGAATAGCTTTTGTAAGGAAGCAGGTCATGGATGCGGTAACCCAAGGTCTTTTGTTTCTCCACACCCAAGAAGACACAATTGGGATGACTGAATAAGAAAACACAGAACAATAATGTTTGCTGCATACAGTAACAATACTTTAAGAATTTTGCAAAATTGCTAGAGTAATAAATTTCGTTTAAAATGGCTGTACAAAAAAACATTCAGTGGCAACACAACATTTAGGTACTGTACCCTCTTACTGTGATTTATGTATGTCTAATAAAAATGTTAGAACGATACATGTATTCTGAACCGGAAGTAGTTAAAGCACAACATACTTTTTTTATGCAACATCTTTTACATGCTAAGCTTTTCAAAAGAGTATTTTCAGAGTAAAACTATAACTTTCTTGGAGGGGTGGGGGGGAGGGGGAATAACAACAACAATAACAACAACAAACAAACATTTCAGTAGAAAAAGTGAAAAATCAAGAACATCACTGGCCTCCACCAGGACCATTGATTAATTCAGGAACAAATCATTGAATACGATATAAAAAGTAAAATTCCCTGAAGAATACTTGACTTACAATAAAGTTGAACATGAACAATTTTTAGCGAGGAAATCCTGTTTCATATAGAATTTAACGCCTCCTCATTTCTTTTATAATCTCCAAGCAAGTGAGACTAGCCGCTTTTAAGAGCGTTCTTTAAAGTGAATTTTATTATTCAGACAAGATTAGTGGAAGTAGCATGGTGTTTATAGTTTTTTTTTTCTCTCTCTCTCTTTCTTTTTTTTTTGGAGAAGTGTCTTGTTCCATATTTTTGTATTTTGATAATGTTATTGCAATTGCAATTAATAAAAAAATTGCTCAGAAGGAATTGCTCTGAAGGGAGAATCAAGCAAATCAGCTGGGAAAACCGCTATTAAAGATAATGAAAAACAGTTGGCTCATAGCATTGCTTTAACCAGCTTTAACCTATGCTGTAAGTAGCACAATCTTGCTTTCACATGTATGCACTGTACTTTTGACATTTTTGCTCTGTTTGCAGTTCTGCCCTTTTTGCTGTATGAGATTGATTCAGTTGCTTTTTTGAATTGCTTTGCTCTTTCAAAAGCTTTTTGTCAGTTATTTCATTTAGCCTACAGCTTGAGTACACAACACGAACAACTACATGTACAGCTTATCCAGCAGTCGCTTATCATTGTTTTTCACGTCGATATTCTTGTATTTTCTTACTGACATAGCCCTCCTTTGTTTAAATTCGATACTGTATGATTTATGATTTAGAAATACGCTGTAAAAAAGCGATAAATCTGGCCAGCGTGATAATGCAGGTTTAAGTAGCTGAAAGTGTGCCAAGAAGTGCGAGTTGTGAGGAATGATAAACTTAGTTCATCAAACACCTGGAAGTCGCTGTGTCTGTGTGAAAAAAGAAATGTACAATTATTTTGGCTTGAATTGTGATGTACTTCAAGTATACGAATCCCAGCTTGGAAAATTCCTACATCTAACTTGTCCAAACAGTGGATGTGGCAAAATGAAGACTCATTAAGCTGGTAGTTCTCCTTGGGAGATCTTATTATCATTTTCGGTGTGCATAGAAGGTGTGTTCTGCTGCTGGTCATTGAAAATCACCACAAATTGATACTGTTATTTTATAGGGTGCAAACGACCTAAAACAGGATAACTGGACATTATTGGATTGCCTGAAAAAAGACTCTTATGTCAAATATTATAGTAACATGCAGGAAAATTAATCGTCCAGGATGACAACAAACCATGTTAACTTTATACTACAACAAGACAAAGTCACTAGCAAATTACATTACAAGTATAAGATGACTTTTGAAAAGATCTGTATGGCCTTGCATTTCTTCTAACATAATTATACCACAGGGTTTTCTCTTGAGGCTGGAGGCCGGATGTTTCGTCCGGTTGTTGGCCATTCTATGTCTGGTACACTGAAAGCTCTGTTAACCCGACCCCCAATTCAGTGGACACCCTCTATTAAGCGGACACTAAGTGGGGTCCCGAAATTTACGTCTTATCAAGTCCCTTTATAACAAACCCCTATTCAGCAGACACCTCTTTTAAGCAGATGTGGACACAAAAAATATATTGTACTTGGCTAATTTCTATTGTTATAAACCTCTATTAAGCGGACACTGGACTGAATTGACAATAGTAGTATTAAATTTCATCCTTGAAATCTTGAAATACCTACTGAAGTCAGTTAATGTTTTGGCATTTACAAACAAATTAAAGTTGGCAATGAAAGGTAATGAACTTGAACTCTGGATAGCTTCTTTAACAACGTGGAACTTTATCACAGTACAGAGTAACCGTTGAATGTTGATCATTAACAAACATTGCGCAATTTTTACAACCTTTATTAAGCGGACACCCTCTATTAAGCGGACACTTGGGAAGGTCCCAAAGGTTTCCGCTTAATAGAGGTTTCACTGTACTTTAAAGCCACTATTTGACGGGTTTTATTTATTTTTTTTATTATCATACTTTTTTTTACTTGAGCAACTCATGAACTTACTGACTAGAGGATAACAAAATAAGCAATTAAATTCTGCAAAACAACCACATTACTTTTTTTTGTTTTTTTGCTATTTGATTGGTTTCCCTTTTCATTTAAATAAAATTGGAGTGACCATTATTTTTGTTATCATTCATGCTTGGTCTTAAGGGAAATCCCCAGGCAAAACACACTACATGTATTGGTCGAAACTGAAGAGAATAAACAATTTTTTTCCTCGAAGGCCAAGAGAAAACGATGTACTTCTGTAAGGTTAAATCTACAGGCATGATGAGTCTGACTCAGTCTTTCATCTGAGGATGAGCAGTGGAAAGGGTAATACCTTCCTTACCGGAAAAAACCCAAAACAATGTCTCATGGTGGTTCTTTACTAATGCGGTCACTATTTTACCAGGTTTAGCTTATATTTCCCTTATCAACAATCAAAATATGACTTTTAAAACTTTCAGAGTTTGAAATAGAAACAAATGACAGACAGCATTTCAAGAAAAAAATTAACACATGCGATATTGAAAGCGATCAACTGATCTTTTGAATTTGGAGTTCTTCAACTCACAGGACATCAGCAAAATGCACCTCACAGAATTATGGATTTTATGAATTGTTGTAGTACAATAAATATTAAATTTAAATGCTGATTTGCAAACTTATAAAAATTGTTCGACTTATCATTTCTCCAAATTTGAGTGAACTCCAGCCTTTCCTGGGAAACTGAATCTCAAGTTCCAGAAACACTGAAAACGGTGTTTCTGAGTGTTCTGTTTTAAAAATTTCCTGGGGGAGCATCCCCCCAGACCCCCCCCCCCCCCCAGGAACGTTGCCCCTTCTTGTCTTCCAGGGGGCCTGTTGCCCCCAAAAAAAATGGGGGTAAAAAAACCATCGGGGAACCCTGATACCACCCACCCTCTTTCTTTAACCATAAACAAATTTCTTGCGAGTAATTTAATAACCCCCCCCCCCCCCCAAGGAAGCTTGCGCCTTCTGTGCTTGCAAGGTGCCTTGTGCCACCAAAAAAATTGGGGGTTAAAAAACCTGTCGGGAACCCTGATACCAACCAACTTATTTACTTAACGATGAACTAAGTTCTTGCAGAGTATTTACTGGAGTGATTTTATTTCATCGTTGTAAACTCCAAAATAGTTTCTGATGGAAAATTTAATAAAATTTGTGAGAGGCACCTAAGTATCAAAATATTACCCTAATCCTAAGGCAAGCATGGTGACCCCCCGTTTTTTTCATTTCAATTAATCCCTTTGGCACCAAACTTTACATAGACAAAGAATAAGCAAATTTTCATTCAAAATATTTCCCCGATTCTGACTGGCTAAAAGCACAAGCATAATTCACCATAACCAGTTACTGATGACCAAATTTGGAAGAATTTTGTGTTTAACGAGGAAATGACGTCAAAAATGCAGCGTTTGTGCAGGTTAAGGCACCGTTGACTGAGAAGACCTGGGGACAAGGTTGAGTTGTTTTGGTCGTAAAAACAAAAAATGGCGGACATTTCACTTGTTTCAAGAGTAAGAACTGGGTGAAAAAATAGTTAAAAACGTGGCAAGAACAGCAACAAGACAACTTGAAGGGCGACATCTGCTGTTTGGAGAATATTTGCGGACCTGGACAAATCTAAAGGTGCACTATCGAAGATGAACTTAACATCGATGGATCGATGGAGGTAAGCATGTTTTAGCCATGTTTTTAAACTAGGAATCATTTTGAATGAATAATAAAACAATTATTGAATTCGGTTTTCGTATCATATGAAGAATTATGGAGATCTCGGAGGGTGTTATCTACCTCGGCCGATAACACCCTCCTCGATCACCATAATTCTTCATAAGATACTCAGCCTCATTCATTAATTGTTAAATATGTTACCATAGTTTATGCAAATTTAGGTTCGGCACATGTGAAGTACGACGTATGAATCGAAGTCGATCTTTTGCCGCTCTATTCGACAAGCTCAGTGGAATAGAATGGTAAAGTCGACCCATATACAAAAGTGCTGTTCCTAATTGATTCATACGTCGAACTTTACATGTGCCGAACATGTAAAGTTCGACGTTTGAACAGGGCCTACCGGTAAGTTTCATACTCTTTATTCCTCATACAGACTCCCAGATTACGCTTGGGCCACCCGTGGTAGCGTCGCCAAATGTCGGCTGTTTTCTGAGGCTATCATGTGTGTAAAGTCGGTTGAAAATGAAAGCTGGGGATTCTTCGCACAGAAAATATTTACAGAATGAGACCGTCGAGAAACAGCTCATAAGTAACGACACATCTACTTACCTCCAATCCTGTGGAGTCTTTTTGTCTCCGACTATAACAACTTTCCAACCTGTGATAGCAGCTAACCTCTTCACATCTTTTGTTGGGGCATTTATAGAAGTGAGCACAATCCACTTATCGTTCATGTCCTCGGCTTTAGGCGATGGCTTTAGTTCAATTTTTGTCCAGTCGACATCGGCCGTCAGTTGTTTTCCCTCCAGTAGTGATCGCCAGTTCACCAAGGATTCTTTAGGAAATTTTGTAGTAGTTTCACGGATTCCATCAAACCACTGCATGTCTTTGTCTGCCTTGCCGACATGGGCTGCATTACGGGAAATAATGTAATAATAAAAATAGCAGAGAATAAACTGCAAAAGAAGGAAAACGAAGACCCACTGCCTTGGCATACGGAATTGCATTTACAGAACCGGTCACTCTTTTATCTTCTCAAAATGCGCTGCAAAGTCTTCTCGCTTAGTACCCCGCTAAGTCGTCTGGCTCTTTTGCAAATTTTCTAACCAAGATGATTTCAACCAATGAAAATCCTCCAACGTGGCGGGCATCATTTCAAAACGTCATCACTAAGGGAGGAGGGGATGGGAGGCTAAAGACATACCAGTAAACCAAGTTAAGAAAGATCAGTCAGAGTGATGCCCCCAAAATGATCCCCACCCCGAAATGATCCCTAAATTGACACCCAAAATGATAATTTGTCATTACGAGCATAATTTTCATCTATTTTCCGAAAAAAACACTGCTTGCATCATTTGCACTTTTGGCTAGTGTTCCAGTACATTTATTGTTCATGCAACCAATTTTTTTGCTTGCTCAAGTTCTGATTATTGTTACATTCATGGGACTTTGGCCGTTTGGGTTCCTCGTACAGGCCGAAGTGACCTCCACCTTGGACTCTTTCCGCAGGGCTGATTTTTTTCTGAGGGGAGGGGGTTGGGGGGGGGGGCGGTCTGAACACAGCCTTCTGAAATGAACGCTTGCGCATAACTAGATCGGTTACCCAAGATGGCGTGGAGGTGCTGGTTGTTGATTGTTTGATTGTTTCGGGATCCAGACGAAAAAAATGGCGATCGATTACGCAACCTTGTCCCCAGGGTGCTTTTCCCGCTCTGGGGACGAGGTTGATCATTTCGGGGTTTTGGATCATTTCGAGGGCTGTAAAGAACTTCTTCCCGCGCTAGCGCAAAATGAGCCCACATCCTTTGAGGAATTCGAGCGAAAGACTTCCTGGATGAGCCGTGAAGTTGTCGAAAATTTCCTTAGGTGGACAAATTACATATTTCGATTTTTAAATGCGAAAGCAGGTTTTTCGGCGGAACTGGTTGTCTTCTAGCCTGCAGTACAGGCGTTTAAAATGTTAAACTGAATTCTGTATCTAACTGGCAGCCAGTGGAGCTGGGCTATATATTGTGGGCGTGATGTGATCGAGGCGTTCAACATTGTAGATCAGCCTGGCAGCTGCATTCTGGACTCGCTGGAGCTTGTGTAGCAGGTTGTGAGGCAAGCCATGCAGAGGCTGTTGCAATAATTCTTCTAATTCTTCTTATGTTATACCTCTTTTTTTTTTTATAAGAATATATTTTATAAGAATATCGAGGCTGAAATTTGCGAAATTTTAAGAATAAAAAAGAATAAAGCCGAGGCTGAGATTTTGAAAAGGATAGATATAACTTTGTGTGTTGAAACATCTGTAAATACAATACAATTTCATGTTTTTAACTTAACCGTATAAAATTATTCCTTTCTCTAAACGGCGAAACTAGCCAACAAAACGAAAAAACCTGCACTAGCTATAGCAAAATCTTCAACGCTAATGACAGTTCGATGAACGTTACATGAAATACATAGGTACAGTATTCAGTACAAAAGACATAAACTAAACCGCAAAAAAGTATTATGACAAATTCTTTCCTTTTTAAATAACAAAACCTAGCGATGGAGCACGTGGACAATGTAACGCGATACAGATCTAGATACCGAACACTTGTAACTGATACTCCAATAAATTCTAAAACGGAAATGTCATAAGCTATAATTTAAGAATAATACAAGAATATGTTCAGCCTAAAGTCGGCAGGAAAATAAGAATATTCAGCCTGGGCCGGAAAAACAACATTCTTATAAAAAAAAGAGTGTATATGGGGAAAAAAGCGGTTACAAATGTTATTAATAGAGACCTTAAGATATACCGTTTCCGTGTACGGGTACGGGTAATGTACTCGTAGCTGTAAATACGGGTAGATGGCCCGGGAGAAACAGGTAGGCTACCGGGTCTGAACGGTAATAACATTATCATATCTGGGAAATCATGGTCGCCTTTTGTAAAACTGCGTGGCAAACTTGTTCGTCTACGGTTACCCGTTGACAGAAACGGTGGGAAACGGTGTATCTTAAAGTCCCTAATGTGTGTCCATCTTTAATTGTCGATCAAACCAGGCACCAGGGTTCTTTACTTCGCTAGCTGGTATGGTTGTATTGTCAAAGGAGCCTGACTGATTATACGTTGTTGCGATTTCCAATTTACCACCCAACCTCGCCTCCGGGGGTTCTCTCCTATCCGTCCCTACGGAACGAGATCGAGAGGTAGGGACGGGTAGGAGAGAACCCTGGAAACGCGGTTGTTAACCTCTACTGCTACCTTTAAGAAAAATCGCTTTTTACAGCACCATAGTACATAATGTTGCAGTCAACACTGACATATCCATAGAGGGCAAAAGCATACTATGAGAGCCAACAGGAGCCAGTTATGGGCTCCTGGAGCCAATCATATCCTATGCTTGAGTGCTATGGGTCGCGACTTCTCAAGAATTTTTTTTTTAGAAAAAATTATAAGTATTACACATTGTTCCTCAAAAGAAAGCTGGTTGTATTGTAACTGGTGAAAAGATCGAGAGCGCAAAGAGCTACTTGGCGATGCCCTCATGATGCACGCGCTTATCAGATAACGGTTGCGTAGAAACAACTTGAAGTTTTAAAATGCTTGTTACGAAACTGAAACATCAGCGGAGTCCTCGCGTGCACGCAGTTTTTCGTTTAAAACCGGATAAAAGAAAATAGACGCATATAATAGGCTTATGAGGTAGCCAAATTATTATCCGGTAGCGAAGGAAACATTGATTAATATGGCGTGTCCAAAAAGCGTCGGAGCGCAACCAAGATCGCGAGGTCAAAGCATTGATGCGGCATTCCTGTTTAGTCGCAAACTAAGTTTGAATTCCGAAATGCAAAGTTTAACTCGTCCGGGTGTGTCTGGTGAGGAACTTTCTAAGCTTTTGAAGAGGCTTCGTCAAAAGTCCTGCGCGGCTGACTCGAACAGAAAGAGCTCTCCAAACGCTGATGACAAGAGAGCTGTTTTCTCGAGGGAAATTCGCGATCGTCGCTCGTCACTAAGTCCCAGATATAACGGATATCAACTTGACAGTCGCAAAGTTGGCCAATGGGATGTGAAAGCTAGTGTGCCGAAGAGATGGCTGAAAGAATATGAAAGAAAACAGGTAAGTTTTTTTCAAAAGAAAGGTGATTGGACCGAAATTAAAGACTTCGCGTTTCGAGGTATCCAGTGTAACGGTATCTAACAACAAGATAATGCAGAACTCAGTAGGAAGCCCGGGCAACATCGTTACAATATAGACAGTGATATGCGTTCATTTTTGTTGTAACAGTCCCAAAAGTGTCCATATTTGCTGGGTGTAATAAGAATTTTGAATTCCTTATGTTATTATTTTATTTTTTATTATGTTATATTTTATTTTTCTCCGTTGACTACAATGCAAAGGTTATTTACTGGCAAACGAAAACGCCATTAACAGCTAGAAGATAATGAATACCTTTTACAGGCCAAAGATAACAGCCTAACATTTTAAGCCTATGTTCTTTTTAATCGCATTCGTTTATAAGTAATTATTCCGTTGAGATTCTGTCAATTAAGTTCGCGTGACTTACTGGCGTTTTTACCTAATATTCTTCATGGGTATCTGAGTAATATTTGCACTACTGTAGAGAGTTAACTGTTTCTTAAAACACCTTCAAAGAGTAACAATGTGGCGATGTTTGCGCAATGATAATCGGCCGATATAGTCGACCACGATCAATCTGGCACGTTTTAGTCGTGATGTAAATGTACCCGATTTGAATACATTTTTTTGCGGTCAGGTTGCGAGCAAAAAGGATGGGTTTGTAAGATTCTTGAAATAATTGTTTCGCATGGTTGTATGATTTAAATGATGGGAAAAAAAAAGGAATGCAAAGGATGAAAAAAGTACACCGTGGAAGATTTAAAACCCATCGTCAATCCCGATACTTTTTCCTTTAAATTTTGATCTGTGGTAAAACGAGTGAGAGAAGATATAATTTTTATATTCTCAACACAAAATTCAATGGAGTCGCGCGTCACTGTCTCGCCTACGGGGGCTCGCTGAATGCTTAATGACCCCTTATATACTTAAGGTCATTTAATAACGTCACACGACTTTTTTTTCTTAGCAAAGCATATATGACTAGTTAGCATACCTAGCTGAATTACTGTTCGTAAAAAATGTAAAACTCGTCTTTATAATATAAGTTAAAGAGACCCCGCTTTGACGTTCCACGAGAGCTGGGGTTTATGGGCTCGTGGTTCTTTATTTATAGTACGATCTTTATATTAAATAAACAAAGAAAAGTTGAGTATTAAATCATCATTACAAATCTCCTAACGAGTTTAAGAATGGAAGAAAGAGAGTGTAAACATATTGAGCCAATCAATGTTGATACTGGCGGTAAAATCCCTAATTCTTGGCGCCACAGAAACTGCCAGCACGTATTGACGTGGCGCTTTATTTTAATCGAGCCCGACCGGACAAAATTTTCTGCTGGTTCCTCTTCAAATTCAAACATTTTAGAATAAAAGAGTGAAGGTCGAAGAGGGAAATTTATTTCTCAATGTTACGGCTTGCGATTGGCTGACAAATCTGTTACACTTTTCCGACCAATCGGAACTGAGTGCCAATTGTGATTTTTCCCGCGCTGACTTAGTGCGAGGTGTTCAGGTTCAAAGATAAAACTTTTATTCCCAGAGTATTAGCTGGTATTAGGAAACCATCTAACTTTTGATTTTTCTCTACGAAATCCTCTGACGTGACTATGCAAACGACAAATATCGTCTTCCTCGAATTCTTTGGTTCAATTGGCAGTATCATGAAGTTATAAATTTGGTACTCTTCTTAACTGACCTCACTGAGTCTGTTTCTTCTCTCGGCTAGTAACGGCCATTTCTAACTTGACTACTTTTCTGTTTAATACCTAAAAGATTGTGGTTTGAACCATTTTAATCCCAAACTTGGTCATTAATGTACTCTCAGTACCTCCTTAAGCTTGATGAACTGATCAGTGTCTTTGGCTCTTTTTATCATAGGCGGACCGTCGTAAAGAAAGACAAAAGAAACTTAAGGTTTGTAACTTAATTTTTACGTAACAGTGGTACAGTACAGTGCTGGACGCACAGAAAAGGAACTGGGAATTACTTAAACAGTGCATAGGTCTTTTAATCGGAATTTCAGGGAGTTATTCGGTAAGGCTTAAACTGCGGACTGCCATTGAGAACGTTCTCAAGACGCCTGCACGCGAAATAACCGTTAAAAGTCACCACGATTCAGTTCAAACCCGTCATTGCCGAATCACGGCAAGTAAATTTTCCTAGGGTCGAATTAAGAGGCAACATCCAAGTTCAAAAAGAGAAATGGAAAAACTTTTCCTTAAATCGCAATGCAAAGTGCAGAGATCTTTTGCTTTAAGGGGGAAGTCTGGTTTACAGCATTATTTTTCGTTGATTTCCACCCTTTTTCTTAAATATGTAGCCAAGATTTCATTCAATCAAAAAATGACTCAATTAAGTAACAGTCTTTAGTTCAATAATTATTCAGGAAGTTTTGGATGATTTTTCGAAGGTTTATAATGTGTAAAATTTAGGGGGAGGGAGATGTTTGAAATTTGGGGAAAAATGGAAAATATTGGAAAAGGGGTTGTTAAAAATTGAGATATGAAGTGAATAATTAGTAGACAATTGCCAGATAGTTCACCACCCCAGCAAGGTGCTTCTGATCCCATTAGCGGACTAACTGGTTTATTTGTATACCTGTTCCACCCCGTGATATATTCCTTCCCAAATCAACATCATTTCCCCCAAATTTTAACCAGTCTCCCCCCTTAAAGGAAACTTGTCTTTAAGGAGAGGGGCTGTCTCATAGGACACTCTTACGCTAAAGAGTCAGCTGGGGGCTTCTTAAGCTACACTTTAAGTGCAAGACCATCACCATGTAACAATGATGTATGATGTTAGAAAACATTAGGGAAGAGTTTATCAACAACATCACCATAATTGGGTTGGTAATCTTTATAATTAGAGTGAGCTTTTTTCTTGTTTGTTTACTTTTTTTTTCTTAGCCTCTGGATCGATTTAGGCGCGCTGTAAAGCTAGTAAGTACAAATATATTTCCTTCTTGCAACTGAGTAACAATAATTTGTGTGCTGTAAATAAAAACAGAAAAAATTGCTCAGACCAATCACAATTCACAATTATGGATCCATACAACTCAATGAACCAATCAGAGAGCCTATTAAGAGCCCAGTTATTTGGGTCCGCACAGGAAGGCTGGGCGTCGCGTGAAGCCTGGCGACTCGAATAAAGGCTGCGTACAAGACTACCAACCAGAAAGCAAAGCAAGTACCTCTGTGCCCTGCGTCTAGTGAAGCCAGGGAAGGAGGAAAAAGACAGCGAGCGAAATCGAAATCAAAATCAAAATCAAAATTATTACTTTGGCTTTTTATTCCGCGCAAAAGTAAAACAAATATTATCAGTTCCGTGAGCCCATGTCGGTTCTTATATTAAGCTACGTGCAAACGGACGCGTGAGAAACAATGTTGGGAGTTGTTGCGTCTGTGTTGGCGATGGTGTGCAAACGGATACAAAAGCTCCTATCAATGTTGGGACCTATAGTGCATCGTGCGAAGGATACAACCTATAAGACTTTGCAAACCATGTGTAATGCGCGCGCATTGCCCCAACACAATCTTGGAGCCCAGAACAAGCTACCAGGACCATGACTATTCAATGATTTTTCCATGACAACAATACTACTTAATCTGTAGTTTTTCCTGTTAACCTTTTTGTCAAAATTTTTTTGAAAATTGTTCAAGAACCGTAGACCTACGGCTTCGTCCGACCTCACTGACGAAGAATATAAATGGTCAAAAATGGAATAAATATCCTTGATATTAGCTGCGTGTCTTTACGTGTTACAGCAACACAAATTTCGTGTCTTTACGTGTTACAGCAACACAAATTTCTAATCAATCAGCATGTAAGGCTTTTCGCGTTTTCTAACTTATTCAACATGACCTAGATTCCCGATCATGAACTTATCAACCCTTTAAGCCTCAAGATCCACATACCAATTCTCTTGATCTCCATACATTTCTTTTACGAATAGTTGAAAAAATTTGGTTTAAGATCAAAGCGATGTCCCTTTGGTAATCAATTTAGTAATTCTCATAACCTTTAGTCTTGATGATCTGCTGATGTTGTTGGGAGAAAATTGATGCTAGTCACTCTTGGGACCTAGAGGGTTAAATCTTATGACTCGTACAATTATATTTCAGATACAGACTTGCAAGAAAGCCTTTCGATGCATTGTGCATTACGCAATGGAGAAAGGTCAACATGAGCAAGTCCAATCTGACGTCACTGTGAGTCTAAAGACTGCTACTGCAAAGGGTGCTGTGGAGAATTTAATGTTTGATCCGGAACATTACAAATGCCACCATGAGGTATTACTTACTCGGGCTTTCTTGTTAGATAGCCTTGCTTGCAGCATTATTACTCTGGCTTATTTCTCTGCGCAAAAGTAAAACAAATAAAATCAGTTCCAGGAGCCCACGTCAGTTCCAGGAGCTCAGTGCTATCCTTATAGTGGGAAAAAATGTGAAATTTAAGAAAAGCAATTACGATTTTGTTTTTTCTTGTCCTGGCCCGGGTTGTTCAAAAGATGGATAGCGCTATCCATCAGGCCCCGGTTGTTTAAACGTTGGATAGCGCTATCCACCGGATAAATCACTATCCAGCGGATAAGTATTAGGGAAACCAATTGCGTTATCCACTGGATAGATTTTTAACCGGTGGATAGCGCTATCCAATGTTCGAACAACCCGGGCCAGATAAATCGCTATCCAGTGGATAAATATTTGGGAAACCAATTGCGCTATCCACTGGATAAAGATTTATCCGGTGGATAACGTTATCCACCTTTTGAACAACCGCGACCTTGAAATTAATGACATGATGCAAAAGTATTGTCCAAAAGGTTTTATTTGAATGGTTACACCATAGAATTTTGTTATGAGATTCTGAAGTTAAAATGGCCTTAAACATCGATCTAGCCTCTACACAGACTTTTTTTATTTTTCTTTCGGTTTTTTCAATCATGTTTTTTCGAAAAGATCGGTGAGCGCGCGAGAGCAAGCTCTGAACGCGAGAATTAACAATTATTCCTCGAGCCCGAATGGGCTCTGAGTCAATAGCCCCATAAGGCCGAAGTCCGAATGGGCTATTGACTCAGAGGCCATGAGGGCGAGAGGAATAATTGTTTTAGTAAAATCCAACTATTTGGTCAAAAATATCGAGAATAAAAAACTTTTAGCTGTTTAATCCTTTTTTGCCGCCAAAAAGCCCGCGCTTTTCGCTACTAGTGGGCTATAACATATAGCCTAGAAGTAGCTCAACCAATCAGAACGCAGCATTGATAATAAACCACTAGTTGGATTTTACTAAGTATCTTTAGCTAGCCCGTAGGTTTTTTCAGTAACAATATACTCCTTTTCATTTTTATCCTTTCAATTTGACCTCCTTTTGAACTATAGTTTGTGATGCCACTATGGGCCAAAGAAATTGCCAGCAAGGAACCCTCGTCCAGAACACCGCAAGAAACTCACTCAATTATGCAACTCATGAAGCAGCTGAAAGGATTTCGCCGATACAGTTCTAAAATACAGGAAGCAGTTTGTAAAGCGCTTAAATATGACTGGTAAGACTCACCGAATATTAACTAGGGTCTGGAGAGCGTGTCCTGATCTCGCAATCCCTCTCAATTTGCACGAGAATCCCGTGACGATCCCGAACTTCTGTCATCGCTATCCCGAATTTCATTTTCTTTCCCAATCCCGCATCCGTGGCCAAATTTTGGCGAATCCTTCCTTACCATAACAGTCAAATCCCGTTAACGTTACCCGAATCCGGCACTATATTGTGGTCAAATCCCGGATCACTGAAAAACCTCTCCCGTCCCTGCTTGGCCATTCTGCGGTTTTGCCATGGAATGCGTCGGTGTTGTCTCGAATGGCACTATGGAACTGTTTTGGGGGAAGGAACTCGACCCAGGGGCCCTTTTCTCGAACGTCCCGGACTAATTTACGGGGCCAAAATCAAATATTCGAATCAAAATCTAAAGAAAAAGAGAGCAGGCCCTGGCTGAAAACTCGAGACAACAGAACAGACCCGTAAATTACCGGGACATTCCGGAAACGGGCCCCATTTTCGCGCCAACCTCGTAATAGCTAATAGAAGAGCAATCTCGTGCCCAGAGCCTACGTTACTTTTGTCCAGCGGATAGGGCAACGGACGCTCTTGTTTTTTACAAGCCAATCAGAGGTGGCCTAATTTGCATTCTTCCAGAGGTTAATTAGTGAGATCCCCGTTGTTGTACAAAAGGATCGCGGCCTCTGGGAACGAGATTGATAGAAGAGGCGATAGTGTCCCCCAAACATTCCCATAATGCAGTTCGACATAACAGATGGCGTTTCACCTCTTTGATTGGTTTGATTTTTTCTTTACAGTTTTGGTAGGCGGAGAGTGGTAATTCGAAAAGGTCACGTGGCCCAGCGTTTTTACTTCATTTTCAGTGGTTCGGTTTGTGTTACTGCGGATGATGACCAGCACAGTGCCTTTGCCAAACCTACGGACAATGCTGTGCTCAAGAGAGGGGACTATTTTGGGGTATGTGTGTGATCAATTAAGCTCACTCTGAACATAAAGGCGTTGTTGGGGAGGAAGGGGAGGGGAAAGGGAGGGGGAATGCTCGTAGGTGCAAAGACCGATCCTTGCTTCACAGCTTCATAGGACAAGGGAAAACTTCTCAGGAAGGATTGACGTTATAGACCACAAGTGGTCTTCCTTCTTTCCTCAAGCCCTCGCGCGTCGAGTGAAAAAGTAGAATGATGCGGTTTAATGGTAAAAAGGAGGGGAGATCGAGATATTTTTTCGTCACTCAGTCTTCCGCCTTCAAATCTCGCCGCTTCGCTGCTTTCCTCTCACGCGTGCTCTCGATCTACTTTGACTCAAGGAAACAGTAAGAGACTGCTCGCAGTCTAGATTGCCTGCTCCTCGAGCTTTTCGGGCAAGTCAGCCACAGGCACGTATGTTTTAGTACCATTGCTAGCATTAAAGCGCAATCTGTCCCGGTCAATGGCAATTTCTTCTCCGTGTTTTTATCGCTGACGTTTAATGCGCTAAAAGATGTTTTTAGAGTAGTTGAAACGCTTCTCTTGTCTTCCATTGGATCGCTCTGTATGTACTAGTCTGCTACACAGCCGTTTTTAGTGTCGTCACGCAACGAGCGTTGCGTGACGACACTAAAAACGGCTGTGTAGCAGACTATGTATGCACTGGCTCAACTTAGTCTACAAATGGCCTGTCTTCTGTACCCTCAGCCAGCTCAGAGGACAATGCTATATCTGATTATTGTTTTCCCGAATCATTAACGCTATATAGCTGACACTGAATAAAATCTACTTTTGCGTTTCAGGAACTAGCGTTTATAAGAGGCATACAAAGATCCGCAACTGTGGTTTGTTTAGAAAGAACTGAACTGTTATCGGTGGAAAAACAAGACTTCTTCTCCGCCAAGATTGACCAATGTTTTAACGCTGACATGCAAAGACGGGTGGAGTATCTCAAGTAAGAAAAAACTGAGTTCGTTGGTAGACTGTTTGCTATCCGACGTTTCTCCTAGATCCGTCGAGTTCTTGGACAGTGAGCGCGTGGGGCCAAAAAGCCCTCGTTTCTCGAGGCTCACGGCTTCGCGCTTCTCCCTCCCACGTGCTACCCGAGGAACTTTGAAGAAAATAAGAGATTCCTCTCAGTATACTTTCTTAGCGCGAGAAGTTTCATCACGATCTGAGATTTTTGTCTGTTATCCAAGCTTCCTATCCTTATTTCTGAAGAGAATGTTGCAGTTTTTTCTTTTTATTAGCAGCTTATAAGTAGATCGACTTTAAAAAACCCTTTTTTCCGCCAGAGAACATCAGGTGTTCAGCACATGGCCTGATGACGTGGTGAAGAAAGTTGCCGAGGAGAGCAGATTGCAGGACTACAACAGCGATGAAGTCATCGTTCGCGATTCTTCGGATCTGCACTGGATTATTTTTATTACGAAGGTAAATTTTACCCCTGTGAGTGCTTACATTTGCATTTGCTTTCAAAAATCGGAAGAATGTAGGAGAACGTCATCTCAAGCGGCTCATAAAAAGGGGAAGAACAAATGAGGTTATTTCCGCCCCACAAATAGAGCAGACTAAGTAGGAGCATTTCAACTTGATACTACTGCCAGGTTTTAACAAAAGTTTGTACCATTGTATAATTGTTATTGCTATATACTTGGAAATTTTTCCCAACAGCGCGCGCTCTCATCGGTTACTTCGAGGTCACGTGACATCTAACAATGAAACTGTTTCCCGACAAAATCTCAGATCGGGCAACATTGCAAAATATTTTTGACGTCAGGGGGTAGCAATGCACTGTTACCCGCGAATGTCGACCGACGATCGTCGTTACAGCGAGGTTTAATGAAGTTCCAGCTTCAAAATTCCCTGCTATATAACAAATCACTTAAAGACTGATCCCTCGGGAAACAGTTAATTTTGTTTTTCTCGAATCTCAATGTTTCCCGGGAAAAAAAATTCAGTTTTTCCGGATGGACCAGTCATTAAGTGTTTATTATTTTCCATTTAATTGAAAAAAAAAAGATGCATTGCTCTGTAACGATGCTTTTCCTCGTGCATAATTTTTATAATTTTTATTCAATGATGATGTTTTTTTTTTAACAAAAATGTGTTCTTATTTTTTTTCTTGTGAAGGGTCAATGCGATGTCTTGAGGCTGTTAGACCTTGGTAATTGCAAGGATTACATAGAACACGCCGCAAAATACAGGATGGATAAAATAAAAGACGACACTCCAGCAACTTACAGACCCAAAGCAGATGATATATCATTAAGCTCAATTGTATTACAAAGGTTTACGCCCGGAAGTACGAGCCTTGAATATGACCTGGCAACAGCTTCGACTAAAAAGAAGTCCGCTTCGAGTGTAGACGCACAAGCCGAATCCCGGCAAGTAAGCTCAGCGGAGAAGTCGGCGGAAAAAGCCTCGGTCAAAGGAATCTTACACTCGGAAAAATCGAAGGGAAAGTTACGGAAAGGGCATGTGAGTTTCCGTGTTGAAGGTCAACAGGACTTTAATAACAAAAAGGAGCAGAGTGCGTCTTCAGAACCTCTTCGAGTTCCTGATTTCACAGATAAGGAGAAAGAGATGGGAGTGGATAAAGGCCTTGTTGATGAGCGAGTGGATGGCAATGTTGGTGTGGGAGTATATATGATGGTAGACCGACTCAGACCTGGACAAGTGTTTGTAAGTATTGCCTAGCGTTGTGCAACATTGTTGTGACATTGGCTTGAACTGTCACGACATTGTTTCAATTTTGTCGCCCGAAAAATCGTTGTCGCGAATCGTCTCGTGTAACATTACCTTATAAAGCAATCCATTAAAGATTACGTCCTACGTTTTCCTTTTTTCTCTTGTAGGGTTCGTGGTGTTTATTAGATCAAGATGATGCATGTACTTTTCCTATTCCTCCGTTACAAAACGTCAGAGGTAACCATTATCAGCTTAAAAATGACAGCAGCAACAAGCTACTCAACAAAAAGAAAAAACCGAGAGAAAGACGATTTATCCTGGTCAGCGGAGGCTGCGAGGTCATCAAAGTAACAAAAGACTTTTTTCACAAGTATTCCGACGAGGCAACTATTGAAAAGCTGAGAGAACTAACAACTACGTATCCTCGCGATAGTACCCTCTGTAGATCCTACCTACAACAGAGCGACTGGCGGACTTACAGAGAGGAAATTGTGGATAATGTTGTCGTTAGACACATGGCGCGCTTAGAGACGGCCAAAGGATCGGCACGGTCGCATAACGTTAGATCCTCCCCAGTTCCCTCGCCGCTGTGCTCGATGAAGATGTGGCCCTCGGTGAAATCCAAATGGGAGTATTTTCCAGATACGGGATGGGTAATGGGTCACGTGACACGACCAGTGGTTGAGGGTAAGCATCATATTCTACATTTTCCTAAGTTCCAAGGCCCAAAGCCTAGTTCAAAGTGTATTAAGGGTGGGAGGACTGTGCAAAAACTAACAGGAAAAAAAGGAAGGAAAACTGAGATTGTGGGGGTTGGGTTGATTGAGACGTATTATGAACGAACTAAGGTTACTTCAATTTTAAGAGGGAATGGTAACCTGTAAAGAATACAAGAGTTGACGTATGATCAAACCAGGCCAAGGAGCGAATTTTCCAAAAACGCAATATATTATCCACCGAGACAAAACGCAATATTTTCAGTTGAAACTCACATATTGGATTGATTTAGCAACAGAACGGCTACGTCAGCTGACGACAGGAAAGCGCGCGGAAACGACTGAACGCCACTTCCAGTGCTCAATTTGCCATTGGTCAAGATCAAGAGAGTTGTCAAGATGTCGTTTTGATCTGCGCGCGCCGTCGTCGCCGCCGTGTCATTTTTTTGCTAAATCTGCCTACTGTTTAATAAAAAGGTTGTGATACTGCTAAATTAAATTTCAGCTCGCTAATCTTCCACCCAAACTTCACTCTGTCTTACGCTGAAAAGTGAGATCTCCATTCCCCTTGGCCCATGGGAGATCTTGGCACGAGACTACAGCGAGTAAGATTGTACAAAAAATCATTTACTCTTCTCTTTGTTCAACTCGAAATATCTACCGTTTTCAATTTTTCAGCCGGAACCTCACGAGCAAGTTCTGCCACTAAAAGGGATCATTCGGATGGCTCATCAGCCAAGCAAAGTATTCCAACACCAAGAAGATGTTCTGCTCCACCGTTTAGGAAATCCCGTGGGTCTTCAGGGACAAATCGAAGGTTTTCCGGAACGACTCGCGCGTCTTCGGGAACTTCTCTTAGGTCTTCTTTGAATCCTCGTGTGTCTTCGGGTCCACCTCGCCTTTCATCTGCCGGGGTGCACCGCGGGAGTCCCGTCTCTTTCAGCTCATCCACCACAATGTCAGCTGAGAAACTCTTGCCTTTAGTGACAAACGATCTGGTCTTAGCACAAGGAAGTCAAAGAACGCTGGTTTTAACCCAGGGAGGAAGTAGGTGTAATGATTATCAACTTCAAATCGAGAGAAACATTATTAATAAGTACGACCTGAAAAAGGCTTTTACACAATCAGGCAAAGTGACATAATGCGCTGACCAAGTTTGGTGCATTGAATGTTTAATGTTTTTTTTTATACGTCATATATTATCTAAAGATATGCATTATTTATATATATCTTTTTTATCTAATAATAAGATGACAAGAACGAAGTTAATGTTGTCAGGTGTAAATAAAAGAAATAAAAAGTCGAAATAAAAGATGATGCAGTTGTAATTCTTGCGAGTGCAACGTAACCTAAGAAGTTAAGTACTGATTTAACCTAAGAAAGGCTTAACCTTTAAAGTGGCCAACCTCCGAAACACTTGTGTCAGAACGCACATTTTTTAAGAACTTCTTTTACGGAATTAATTAGATTGTTTGAAAAAAAATCCCTGCCATGAAGTATTCGTTATTTCAAAAGCATCGACCTTTTCATTTGAGAGACAAAACGTGATATTAATTTCGTCTGTCACAATAGTAAAACTTTTCAGCAGAAAGGATAAAGGTTTAATCAACTACTTGAGTTAATTATAAATTAAAGTGTTCGTAGGTAGTGAGTGAAAAACACAAAACCATTGTTTCGTTCTAAGTGCACTGAAATGGAATTTCTGATTCAAAAGTATAGTGCTGTGAATTTTTTTTCAGTTAAGCTTTTTGACTTTTTAAAAGGAAGAGAACAAGATCTTGATGAGGCCTAGTGGCTGAAAAGTACAACATCTTTTACCCTTAATTTCTGGACTGGGAGAGATGTGCTCGTATAGAAACTCACCTCGTCTAAGGATTCTTGTATTTTTTCCACTTGTTTTGAAGTTATTTTCTGGAGCAAGTGGATCACCGCTCTTGGCAGATTACTATCGAGGTATAGTTCCGTAAAAGACATTGTAAATTCGGGAAATCCCTTAATCAAAGTTAGCAAACTTTTATATCAAAAGGAGTTAATCAAGTAAGAAGCAAATAATAGAGATTTATTTCAGAAATTGCTTTATCTTCATCCGTCAAGCTCTGAAGCTGAAGTTTTTCTTTTAGCGAAAAAAGAAAGAAAAACAAAAAAAGATTCACCCACCCATACGGTATATATTTTCTCTCATTTATCAACTTACTTATTTTCTGGTCTGAATGCACTGGCCCCCGGCGAAATTTGTACCTTGGAAATCGGTAGAAAATCATAATTTGATGGAAAGGTATGGACTTGGAATGGCAAAACCTCGATTAAAGAGATCAGAAAGAGAGTCTTTGTCAGTAGAAAATGTGGTAGCTAACCCTCACATGTAGGGATAAGAAACAAGGAAATTTTAGTACTGACTGAAAATGGTGAATCTTGTGCGCAAAGATTAGACGACATTTGCCGGAGCTAAAACAATTAATTGAGGACATATCATAGCTACGTTTTGTGACAGTTAAAGAGCATAGTGATAGCTTGCACATTCTATCAGGTCAATGTTTTAATCAAATTCACGAAGTTATATCTTTACATACTATTTAATTGTTTCAGCTTTATGTGAATGCTCGATTTCGATATGTTACTAGTCATTTTAGGGAAAATATTACGAATGCCACACCCAGAAATAATAATAAAAAAAAAGACAGGTGAAAATCACGTATAATCTACACTCAGATAATAAAACGCAGATGAAAAGAAATTATTTAAACGCGGTTTGGATCTGTTTTCAAGCTGTGATATAATCCGTTTATCTGTGTTGATTGATTTCTTAGTTTCCTCACTTTTCTTGTAAAGGCGCAAATTGAACTGTTGAATGATGCCATAGCCTGTTCCAGGCGTTCAGATAGTGGGGAGCGGCGCGAAGTAAAAAGGAGCGCGAAAAAAATAAAAGCGAGGGAGGAGGAGAGGTAACAACTTATGCAGAATTCGCACGTGGATTACAAACCGACATTTTATGATGTTGATATTTTTGCAATTTAGTCCTAGCCATCACTAAATCTTATCAGCAATGTTCATTTCAAAAAGATCCAATCACTAGCTTGAATCGAAGCTTGAAAAATCGAAAGCCGAATGAAATAATGACTGTGTATTACACCCTGGTCACAGACAGGAAGACTCTTTTCCTAATGAAAAAAACCCGAACTATACGCCTGACATACAACCCTTACAAGATTTACAGGGTTGTCGATGAAATTTATGTCATTGCGCGTTTACGTTTTATGGTCATTAGCTGGAAAATCACATGGCACTATTTCTAAACTATCCAGAAGCAGTGCTAAGGTCAAAGAACGCTTAGTTTTTCGTGTTTGCATGAACTGACAACGTTTTTTTGCTTCTAGATATGATTGGTTCATTTAAATGTTTTGCTCGTACTGTGATTGGCCAAGGGTGATTCAACGACACTCGCCTGAAGTTCTCAATTCACGCCAAACAATTTGTTATACTAACACAACCAGATACTCTTATAAAAGTTGATGACTATTATCCTTTGCCTAAAACTTTCCGCCATTGAAATATGTGTAGCTAGTGTGCTAGGCGTTTCCCTGAACTTTGCGAGTGGGAGGCAAAAAGGATAGATAGGATTTTCACTCTATCGATATTTATAATTTATCCTAAAAGAGATCACTTTTGTTTGAAGACACAACTCTCGGGTGGCCATAGTTAATAAACTATTGTATGCATCATTTCACTCTCAGCAGTTGATCATGTGTTTTAATATTGGCGAACTTTGAAGCCCAGCTCCTACAATCAGAGGAAAAACAAACTCTGACAGTGGTCTTATCAATCAATTGGCAGAACCTGTATGTGTAAAAAACAAAAATGTAATTCTCACAAACACCCGCGCGTCATGCCAAATCATAGTTGAACAGTTATGTAATGCAGAAAAAAGGGAAGGTTATAAGTCATAACATTCTGGTCGATGAACGCTTATTTCAACCCTTATTTGGACGATGAATGTATTTTCAAAAAAATTATGCTTTTTATGAAATACCTACAAGTTTTCTTCGTCGAACTTAAGTTACTGCATGTGTTTTTCTTCGTTTTTTGCGTTTTTTCACCAACCACTTTTCTTGTGTTGATGACCTAGTTTTGGGTACCTGAAAGTATTAGCTTCCAAGCACTAAATGTTTTGGCATTGGATGAATAAAAGCTAACGACTTAACCCCAAGGGGTCCATTTTGACAAAATGAAATACAGCAACGTTTTATGCAAAATACGTGCATCGAGGACTGGCACGGAAGTTAGAAGTTGAATTTCTTCAAGATCTAACAGAATAGTTATGTTTTACGTTAACAGACTTCAAATTATCATCGACGTCGAAAATATGCGAAGAAATTCGTGGTTGTTGTGAAAAACGAACAATGTTGAATATGACAAAAATATCTTCTGTATTTCTCACATATTTAATAATTTTGACGGCCAATTCTTTGCTACTGCCAGTTGCAGGTGGGTAGATTCATATGTCTCTAAATACAAATAATTTCATGCTTTTTATAAGACAGTAGAAGATTTTTAATTTTTTTCTCCAACTCATTACTCAGTTAACTAGAGTACCATGTTTTGTTATTTCGTACAGTACTTCTAACTAATCGATTGGAACGAGTTAATGCGTTTACCTAATACCGCGCGAGATTTTCCTTTTTTTGTAAAAAAGGAAAAAACTTATTATCAGTCTGCTAAATAAAGTACATGCTTAACCCTGGATAGAAGAACGCAAAGTTAAATATTTAGAACAATCTACAGAAAAGATAACTTTGATAAATTGTTACTTATTCTTAATAAGCCAGTGTGTAAACAGGTGTATTATTGGTCGAACAAAAGAATGGAAGGGAAACTAACCAAGAATGAGGTTTGTGTAATCAGTCACTCAAATGAGGTACCATACCGAATCATATCGGGTGCGGGACATATGCAACGGCTTTATAAGTTACTCCTCGGTAACCAACTGCTGGTCATATTCGACGCTGTTTGCACTGTGACACAGAAATACGATCATTTTTTCTTGACAAGAAAAAGCAAGTTCTTCATCTTATCGTTGTACTTGTGGCATATTTATTTTTCAAGAAACTTTGCAGAGACTAATTGTGACCAGCATTTGGCCTTATTTTGTAGGGGGCGTTTGAGCAACCAGAGTGAGTTTTGATTAGTGGATATGGTTTCCATAGGCAACCACTAAGCATTTACCAGCCTTGAAATTCACCACTCATTTCTATCATTGCGCATAAGCATATATTGACATCCAGTCCTAGCAGTATGTAAAATGTTAATAATTTGTCACATATACCTGGTTTAGGGACCTTAGCTCCCACTAGTCTCCTGTAGCTCATTGGTAGAGCATCTAGAAAGTCCTAGTTAGGAGTACCTCGGATTTTTACTTCCGAGTCACCTGTGTCACTGACTGAAGAAATACAAACATTTTTCTAATCTATTCACCAGACTTAAAATTCAGCATAACTTTTCTACCAACCACTAAACAGTCACACATACTATTGGTTACTCAAAAGATCCCAGAAATCTTAGCGAACTAAAAGCTGGTGCGCAGTATTCAAAGTTTCTCCAAACTACATCTGTAATGGTGGTGAACTGCAGAAATAGAAAGCCAGAGTAAGGGTGGTCACAGAGACAGAGGTCTCCATAAGGCATGCCATTAAAACTTCATGAAAAAAGTTGATCCACCACTGAGCGTCTTAGCGCACTCTCAAAAGTCTCTCCAAAGCATCTTCAGTGATCGTGAATTGCAGGAATGGAAGGCGGAACAAAGGGCGATAACAGAGACAGAGGCCTCCAAAAGTCATGCCAGTATATAGTTCATGAAAAACGTTGATCCACCGCATAAAGATGTTTGGTATATTCCCCTTAAATTTCCAGTGGGGACTGTTTTTTCTGCGGGGTTTTATCCAGTAGTAGCACAACCGGTTGATTTCTGGTACATAATGTTAGAAATACTGACTTAACTTCAAATCTAAAAGTAGCTCTATTATGAGCTTTTTGAGGGGTTAGTGTCATCATCATCATCATCATCAGATTTATCACAAGTCATAACTGGGTTCGAATTCAAGTCAAGCGAATTTTTTTAGCAAAAACGTTTTTGAGCGACGCATGTCGACTAGTAGTGAACTTTTATCATTCTTGGACAGTGGTTTGCCCAAATTTGCGACAAAATAGTCTCTACAAGAATAAACAAACTTAGCAGTAGAAATTTGGTAGCATCAGGGCATATTATGAGTAAAAAGGCTTCACTTCCGGTTGACGTACGCCAATCAAAAACGGCTTTTCTTAAGCTACCTAATCTCAAATTAAATACGCTGATGATGAGACAACAATAAAGCGTTTTCACTCACGTGGCCAGCAAGTATGTAAAAAGCAATAAAACGGTAGTTTAACTCCCACAGAACTGGTTTGGGACACTAACATGGACGCCGTTTTGGGAAACCAATATGGCGGACGTGACGTCATGTGAAAACGCTCTATAAGAATTGCATATGACCTCAATGTACTTATGCGCACTGTTAACACTTTAGATGCATTCTCCACAGCTTTCCCTGAGATTGGTGCCAGTTTGGCCTTAGTTGGTCGTCAGCCCAAATCAACGAGTGGGTGGACGGAAGTGAGTGGGTGGACAGAATTACAGCCGTCAGACAGTGGTCGCTTTTTGTTCGGGGCCCCACTGGGAACGAAGGCATCACGGTTCAAGATACCAAAGTCAGGAATTTATTTCGTTTCGTTCAGTATTCACTTATTTCAAGCGGACATCGGAGTGTTTCTAGCGGCTTTGGTCATAAATGGGCAGCCTGTGAAGTATAACAGGGCAATGAGTGCAACCAGGCAAGGTTACCACGGTGCCGACTTCAGTTTAGTGGTCAGCGGATTTGTGGACTTGAGGTCAAGTGATCAGGTCTCCGTGTTTGTTTTCTCGGAAAGGGATACAGAGTGGAGTGTTGAAGACGGAAGCCAGTTCTGTTTACGTTATACAGGAGCGATTGGAACTTTTCCAGCATTCTCTGCCATAAAAAGCGCAGGGACGGTTTTATATTCCTCTTCTGCTACTTCTTCATCTTCTTCTTCTTCTTCGTCGCACATTGTTCGTAACTGGGAAACAAGTGGTACCCCAGGTGTATTCATCAGTCTGTCCGGGTTTTCTCCATCCACCGGAGAATTCATCCCTATCTGCGACGGGATTTATTTCCTGGCTGCGAATATCCGCGTTGAGGCAAGTCTTGGTATCTACAGACTGTCTTTAATTGTAAACGGCAAAACTCATGGTCCGTTCATCGAAATAAGCGTAACAACTCCTAACGATATTTTCTCTCTGAGCTATTATGGTTCCTTTTACTTTAAAAGAGGAGACAAAATTGCTCTTAGTATCAACTCATCAATAATTCACCAGAACAGTGGTTTCTCTGTAAGTTATATTGACGCCTATAATCGGAGCTCCCTTCAAGGTTTATCAACAATTACCCAAACAGCCACTGAAATTCCAGGAACTGGTTGGATGGAATTGACCACGTGGTCAACGCCTTCGATATCGCACGTGATGTTTTACAATCCAGACGTGTTTAAAAACGGAAGGTTCAGATGTAGTGAAGGTGGCACATACTTCGTAGCTGTAAGTATATTGCATTGGCAGTCTGGAGACTGGGCCTCAGTTTTCGGCGATACGATTTTGGGACTGTCTGTGCTATGTGATTGGTCAATGATCCTTATCTATAGCCCGGCTCTCAGTAACAGTTTATCGGCAAAACGAGCCCAAAAATCTGGATAGCTTAGTTTTTCCTTCCCCTTACCCCTCTGTACCCTTTCTTTCCCATTTTCAATTTGAAATTTGTTAACGCTTGAACAATGTTTAAACCCAATACGGACCGAGTGATCAATTTGTCAAAAAATATTGACTAATTCAGATCAGTGGAATATAAAATGACCAAAAACCAGTTTGTAGGACGCAGATCAGTTGCTTCTTTACCGGTCATCAAAGATTTTCTTATCCCATGTTGGGTATTTCGTCTTTCTCTTTATGGGTATCATCTTATGGGTTCGATTCAGCTGCCACTGGACGCATTGAACAACCACAGACAGACCATCCCAAACAAATGGTGGTTTGCCTGTGGGACAACCTCTCGATGAAAGTTAATTATGAGTGATATTTCAAAGTAGACCTTTTTAGCTTGTATGTTTTATTTTGCAAATTCAGCTAAGGTGATGTTCTTAACGCAATTTGCCTTCTGTCTTGTCATTAGTTAGGAACGTACAGGCATGCGGATAACGCCACTTTTACAAGAAAAAGCTCCCCGGTGGAACATCACATGTTCTCCAATGGGAAAACCACCAAACATGCAAGCTAAAAATGTTCATTTTTCAAACAATATTTCCTATATTTAGGTTTCCCTCAGGATTCGGGGCGGTAAAGGAACGTTTGACGTACTGGTGAAATCCAGTGGTACTTCCCAGTTAAATGGAAACGCAGGGCTCTTCGCAACGCAGTACAATCCTGAATCATCGGGAGTATTTTCCTTATCAGTCTCTGGTCTCTTGGAACTCAGTAAAGGTCAGCATGTGTTAGTGTTTGTTCACTCCAGTTTTCCTAACAAGTGGTTTATCGAGCCGGGCAGCGGACAGTCAGTCATGAAGACACGACATTATTGGCCAGCGGCAAATAGCTATATCAGCTCTAAGCATGCGTTCAAAGGTAATATGTGGCAGGAGATTCCAAATTGGAGACTATCAGCCAAAGAAGGCGCCTTCTCGTTCGGAACAAACTTCCGACCAAGTAGCACAAGGTTTACTGTCTCATCCCCTGGGGTTTATTTTGTTTCTACTAATCTTATCCTTCGGGCTAAAGGTAACTGTATTTCGGCTGTTATAGGTGTTGATGGCAAAGTCAAGGTCGGCAACGGTTTGTTCACAACTCATGAATACCCTCCAGACAATCTGACCCTTAACATCGCAGGCGCACTGAATCTTCAACAGGGACAAACTATATCAATTTTTGTCCGATCGGAGAGAAATGCTTCATTTGAAATACTAAACAGGAGCGGGTTTTCTGTGGTGTTTATCGGTAAAACATTTGCCGTTCCTGGCTTTCATGCTGTGAAAGGCAGTCAGTCGGTCATAGCAACAACTAACTGGGTTGAAGTCGATGAATGGGAAGATCCTGGAAATAAAGACATAGAAACATTTCAAAATGGTGATGGTTTCGACTGCGTCCGCGGTATTTACACAGCTCCGATAAGCGGGATTTACTTCGTGTCATGCACCCTTGTCACTAAAGATATCGATGTTAGTGTCCCCGGTTCTTACATTGAGATGTATATTGGGGTGAACGGTCAAGCTTCCCTCACTAATGGTTTACAGAATACTCGTTACATCCAAGGTACGAACCCGCCACGAGGAAATGAGGTCATGGCCATCACAGTTTCCGGGATGGTACGATTAAGGCGTGGAGATTACGCTGTGATTCGTGCCCGCACGAGTATGGACTCTGATTGGAAAGTTGAACACACGAGTGGATTCTCCATATTCTTAGTGAGTCCTTTAGATATAACATATGGAAATGTAGGATTCCTGTCCCGAAAAAGCGATACCAGGATAAAAAGCGTAGGCTCTGGAAGTTGGTCTAAGATTGAAGGATGGGCGACACAATCCGACCTCACAAACGGCTTATTTCTTAAGACGGATGGTAGCTTTGCATATGAAGCGCTTAGTGGGGATTTGTTAATAAATCATGCGGGAATTTATTTCATATCAGCCAATGTAATTGTATCCAGTGTTCCTGAGTCTTGTGAAGTGAGTATTCTTGTATCTGACAGCAATGGAGGTAGCCCCGAAGAACTTGTGACCGGCTTTTCAGCTATTGAACAAAAACCAAAGTCAACCGGCAGACATACTTTACAGTTGTGTGGTGCTCTGTTTTTAAAAAAGAACAGAAAGATCCATGTAGCTGTACGATCGAACAGTGCTAAGGCTTTCACTGTATGGGAGGGCAGTGGTTTCTCTGTTGCAAGGCTCATTTATCCAATCGAAGAACCCGGATTTTATTCCCGAACAGATGGTACTGTCCAAGTACCTGAAGAATCGAACTGGTGGAAAATAACAGGATGGGAAACGTCGGGGGAGAGCGGACTTCACATTGACGGTCACGGGTTTAACTCAATGAGTGGTGATTTCATCGCGCCGTTGTCAGGAATTTATCTAGCTTCAGCAGGTGTATCATTTGCAGGAGTCTCGCACGCCACAATTGTCTATGTGAAAATTTCCGTGAATGGCGACAATACCGCCGACAGTGGGTTGGAATCGAGCCGTTTGTTCACTCGGCGAGATTCTCATGCGGTTGTGACGACCAGTGGGAGCATGGAACTGAGGCACACTATGAAGGTTAGCGTGATGATCAAAGTGGATAATTCCTCTTCGTGGACAATAAATGGTAGCTATTTTACAATGCGTTACATTTCTGAAAGGGAAAAAACAGAGGGTAACATGGCAGACCGTTACAGTGATGTTATTTTCAACTCAAGAGGATGGAAGGAGCTGGTCAGTTGGAAAACCACTGGCGTCAATGGGCAGTATCAACTAGGCTCTGTTCACCAAACCACAGATCGCTTTCGTGTCTCAAAGAAGGGTGTGTATTTTGTTACTGCTAACGTTAAATTCCTTGAAACCAATGGGTTAGTTGCAATTGCCATTATAATCAACAGTGGAAATGATACAGCGGTTGTAGCCAAGAAGTCATGCGTTGAAAGTGAATGGTGCGTTATCAACATTGCCGCACCTGTTAAATTAGCAGCAGGCACTTATGTGTCCGTTTACGCACACTCAAATGATGAAGACAGCTGGACGATATCAAGCCAATCTAGCAAGTCCAATTTGTATTTGAACCCAGTCCCTCCAACCTCCGTTATTCAAGGATTTCTTGCCGGTATTTCTTTTAACACTTCCGTCGGTGACCGACAAACATCGCATTGGTTTCGAGTCAAGAACTGGACTACAACCAATCATCCTGGTTATTTCAAAACAATTCCTGGATTTTCTGATGACATTTTCGTAGTTAGCATCACTGGCGTTTACATTATAGCTGTGAATTTGCTTTTACAATGTACAGCAAAGAGCACTGAGTGGTGAGTGGGAATTTGCTCAATCATTATTTCCTCTCTTCAATTCCTTACTTCAGAAACTCTAGGAAGAATGGGTACAAGCAATGGGCGCAGTGATTTCTGGGATCTTTGGGTGGACAAGCGTTAGTTATGATTGGTCGATGGTAGTTAAGGCAACCATTAACCAATCATAATTAAGAAACTGCGCCGAAAGCTTGTACCCAAGTTTATATGATACTTTTTCACATCCATCTGACCGCAAAAGTAACAACTTTGAGCTCAGCTGTTCCATAAACATAAAAGAAAACTCTAAAACGTTCAAACCGATAGAATTGCACGTTGTGACGTAGGTTTAACTCTATGTGCATGCTACAAAGACACGCGCCCGCGACATTTTCGGTCATTGTTTTCATTTTAATGAGCTGCGACTGTCCACACTAATACGATATGTATGCGTTCTCGTTTTGATCCACTTTCATGGGCATTTTCAATTCAATGCGGTTTCAACCAAAGCGCTCAGCGTATCAGTGTGGACAGAAGGCCTAAACGCATCGAAACTTACGCATTTTCGAATGAAAACGCATTATTGTGGAGAACTGGGCGCAAAAAACGCGAATCTTATCTTTTCTGAACTAAGCATTGTAACATATTGTTGTTTCCGTAGTGACTTTGAGCTGTTAGTTATGCTTAATGGGAGACTGTCGCCAAGTTCTGGGTTGTATTCACGTCAGACTGTTCTTCCGCTGAGTATCGACACACTAAACGTAATGAGCGTTGTACACTTGAACAAATGGGATTCCCTCGCAGTGGCTGTTCGGTCAGATAATCCCTTTCAACTTCTGGAGGACAGCACATTCTCTGTGACAATGCATGGTAGGTTTACCGAATCAAGGGAAAAAATTCATCTAAAACGTTTTATTCCCGAGGGGAGGGAGTACTTTCTTATAAAAGCCATAGAGATATATGCCGCCCCTTTGGAATCCGGGGAATGGTTTTCGAGGGAACTTCCGGAGTGTATGAACGTACTTGTCGTTTCAATTCCAAATGAATAAGCAACAAAAAGCAATATACCAATTTAAGTAATGATGACATAACTTTTGTCTATGTAAACATGAATGTTGCCTCTGTGACCCATGCCATACAAACCGTACAGGCCAGGTCTGAAAACTGGTGTAGAGAATGACACACCCTCAACAAGAATTTCCGAAGTATCCCCGGGTTTTCATTGGCAACAAAAGTACTGTTTGTGATAAACTACAGTGACCTTAATTTTGCATGTTACCTTTCTGGTACACGAGCGATAGTGAGGTCAATACATCAAGGCTGTAATGACCGAACGGACGAAGTTAATAAGTGATTTATTATACGGACCTGAGCCTGCGATCAATTAAAACCAGAACTGATCAGCGGATAACGTCACCACAATGAATTGTACTCTTGAGCCCGCGATACATTCATGTGACACAGGTCAGCGGATACGCTTTTTGACAGCTGTCAATTGAAAATAACGAGGATGTCCACTATCAAGTTAAATACAGATTGTATATGCCTTGGACACCAACAGTAACCTTAATATTGCTTGTTATCCAGTTTGTGGTACACATTGCTTGCAGCGAATTGAATCACTGTGTCCTTTGCTTTACTTTAGCTTCTGCTGGGGGTCCATTTCTGTGCACAAATAATGGACCTGCGCTCGTCTCAGGTCTGATACCTGATTTTCTACGTACGAGAGTTGGTAATTCACTCACGTGGTCATGTGAAGCTGTCGGTCAAACTCCACCGGAATACCGCTGGTTAAAAAACTTTAAGGTGAGTGAGAATTTCTTCGCGAATGATTCTCGGGAGCCATTTGGGAAATTTAGTACTTTTGTAAGAGCAAAGCCCGGGCTTGTTGATATATTTTTTATGATTAAACTAATGGATTTTCCGTTTTCTGATTTCTTTTCTTTTTCCAGCAGAGTTTGTCCAATGTAACTATTAACTCCCTGTCCATCATCAATGCGACGGTGCAAGACAGCGGTGACTACGCATGCGTCGCAGAGATAGCTGGAGTGTCTGTTAGTTCAAATGTTGCGCGCCTTACTGTGTATGGTGGGTATATACAAGACGATTGCCGAGATGTAAACGAACACGTACCTCATAGAAAGTTATGCAATACAGTATAGTAAATACAAAAAAACATGGTGCGCTTTGCCTGCTATTTTGTTTTACCACACTTTAAGCATACACAGTGCAAAATGGAATCTATTAGTTAAGGGTTACATCGTACACTAGAACCTAGTTGCGGCTTGTCCATTTTTTCTTTATTTGTACTTGTACAAATAGCAGACATTTATGCATTTTGAAGACATCTTTCATCAATATCATCTAAAGCTTTAAGGAAGGGGAAATGCTATAGTCCACGCTGGGATCAGTTATTATCTGTCTTTTCAGTGACAATATGAAACTAAGATTGTAACAAAAGAGGTCTTTTATTGTATACATTTTCGAAAACATTTCTGCAAAACCACCTTTAGTGCTAGATTAAATTTTATGTCCGACTTTTCAATATTCATAAAGATAGCACTGAGATAAAAACCTTTTCCATGTTTGATTTTTTTGTATAAGTAAATAAACATTTTGCATCTTTGGCTTCATTTTCGCATTAATTGAAGTTTTAAAAAAGTGTCAAAATGTTCGTGATATCACTATCACTATCTAATCGTCCTTAGGTTAGGGGGAGAGGGGTGCGTGCCATTCGAGGGCTGTAAGTTTAAATGCCCGATGTTATCCAAGTTACCTTCTCTCTTTCTCCGGAAGTCGCCTTGGCAAATTGGATGAATCAGAATTCAGGCAATGGCTTTGTTGCTTGTCACTCAATTATATACTACTTGTTAACCTCGCCCGTTGGTTCATACCTGGGAAATCTTAGACCTCGGCCTCTATGTATTGATATCGCTATTGCTTGGTCAATACATCAAGGCCGAGGTCTAAGATTTCCCTGGTATGAACAAACGGGCGAGGTTAATAAATTGTTTATTATATGGCCTTTCCATTGTGGACCTGAGCCTAAGATCAATTAAAACCATCAACTGGTAAGCCGATAACTTAAAAAAAAAACAGGTCACCTCAATGAGAAGTATGTTTGAGCCCGCGTTTCAATCAGGTGACAATGGTCAGCGGATATCCTTTTTGACAGCTGTCAATTGACTACTACAGAAAATACCATAACATACCATAATGCTCTTTGTTTGTTCTCAAGAGAAACTGAAGACAATGCTTATGCAAAATTTTGGGGTGACAAACAAAGAGCATTATGGTATTTTATGGTACTTTCTGTAGTGGTCAATTGACCGTAACATGGACGTCCTAAGCATGTCTACTATCAAGTTAAACACAAATTGTATCAACCTCGTTCCCAGGGTTCCCTCCTACCCGTCCCTACGGAGCGAGAGAGGTAGGAGAGAGAACCTGGGAACGAGGTCGGAATTGTATATGCCTTGGACACCTAGCTAGTAATGCTTGGTCATTACAAGAAAACAGCCAATCAGAGCGCGTATTATATTATAACGATATAATGAAAGAAAATGATGCCCGCTTAGCAGCCAATCTGACCGCGCGTTCTATTGTAGCCGTATAATAGCACTGTAATAATGTGAGATCTAAAGATATTTATGGTCGGCTATGTTGTATTCATTTTCAGATCCTCGACCTGCGTTTGAATCTCTTCACTACACAGTGGCTGTAAAAGAAAACGGTCCTGCTCCACAACTGATACTTAACGTTACAGTAAAGGCAGAGAGCAAGGAGAAAACTCATGCAGACATGGTTTTAAAGATTATTTCAGGTTTGTTTCATCAGCTGTCAGAATCCATGTGACCTTAAAGAAGGAAGTCTAGTTCGATCAAAGGATCGAAACATGCATGCTGTATCATAGGCAGCCCAAGTTCAGTATGGCTGGGAGTTTAATCTTTAATAGGTGTGGTATCATATTGTGTAATCCTCAATCCGGGAATATAAAGAATTTGGGATCCTTCCCCTACTTCTCCTTACCGGCAAAGTGTTGATTGGGAGGCGATTCCCAGAATTATGTACTGATAACAACTGATATGATTGCAGGGAACATCAACAACTCCTTTGTCGTGCAACCCAACATCTCCTTACGTTCTTTCGGGATTTTCACTACTCGGCCATTGGATAGAGAAGACATATCGGAATATCATTTACTGATAACAGCAACAAACACAGACGAGGCTGCGCTTAGCTCTGTGACCAATGTCAACATCTTCGTCGAAGATCTAAACGACAACCATCCGCACTTTGACAAGAAAATCTTTGAGGCCAGCATCCTGGAGAATGCAACGTTGGGTCACGTGGTGTTGATACTCAGTGCCCAGGATGGAGACCTGGGGCAGAATGCTGACATTAGTTACTCGGTACATTTAGGGTCTGGGGTGGACACATTTAGCTTAAACAAGACATCGGGTAAGTGATGCATTGGTTATATAAATATATTTAGCCAAGGCCAATAGTGAAGATCTCGCGAGATCTTTTAAGAATTATCTTTTTGCAGTAATTCAACTTTTGCCTTTAGCAAGAAGCAAACTGAATTTCTCCTAAAAAATGGGCCTGAGCATGCGATACATTGAAAACCAATAACTGGCCAACGGAGAACTTTAAAAGACACGTGACCTCTTTATGGGTTGTAAACCTGAGCTCGCAATACAGTCATGTGGCACTGGTCAGCGAACAGTGCGGGCTAGAAAGTGTGAAATCTCACATCCGCTAACACTAGGGGGCAGACGAACGTACGGATGGACGATTCTGTCACTACCAAAATTTCTTGAGTGCATAGATAACCAAATTCAAGAGATTATCATTCTCTTGCCAAATTTTATTACTCATGGTGCTCCGCTGCGCTTGCTTCACGCGCGCGAGAGCTCCTCTATCAACTCAAACAAGCGCCACCATAGCAGAATTTTCGTTAACTTTTGCTCTTTTTAAAAGAAAATGACCGTTATTTTCTTCTCCGAACCGACCACTGGCAGGCTGAAGGGTTAAAACAAAGCGCTCGTGTCACGTTGAGAAGGAGAAAAAGAAAGAAAAAGAACTTTTCCCTCTTTCCATATTGCCTCTCGCGCTCAATATTACTGATTTTATGACATTCTCTTTGGAAATACCAGGGGAAGCCTATGAGGTGAATTCGAAGAGAGCTACTGTAGCGCTTAGCAATCAAACTTAGTGATCAATAACTCACTTACAAATTCCTCCTTAACGTTCAAAAGGGGTTTAAATTTAATAGGTTTGCGCGTTTTTCTCTTAAGGACTGTTTATATCACATTAATATTTGTTGATTGAGATATTAACGATTAAGGCTTTTTAAAACCCTTACGGTTCCTCAGTGTGAACAGACATACTACGTTTCCATGCCAATCATCTCTTGACAAGACTGAAAGTTGGCAGTAATTTTCACTCCATCTGTCACTGGGATAATATAATAATATGAGATAATAATAATAATAATAATAATAATAATAATATGATGGGATAATAATAATAATGGGATGATATGTTATGTAAGCTAAGATATTAAAAATTACAAGAGAGCTTTTAAATCAAAATATATCAGTATGGCACGCATTTCCTCTCATTCCCTATTAGGTGAAATAACTCTGAAGAAACCACTTGACCGCGAAACTCAACCAAGCTACTCACTTTTTATTGCCGCCCGCGATCCTGACTTTTCTGCGTACGTCGAAGTTATCATAACAGTGCTTGATGTAAATGAGCACAAACCGGTTTTTACGCCTTCAAAGTACAACGTGACAGTTTCCGAGGCAGTAGGGAAGGGCACCTCCGTGCTTAAGCTTACTGCAACGGACAAAGACGCTGGAACGAACAGTGAGTTTGTGTTCTCCATTGTGAGTGGCGATTCTCGTTCATTATTTGCTGTAGACAATGATGGAATCATCACAGTTGCGAGAAGTCTTGATCATGAAAAGGAATCAACACACAACATAACAATAACAGCTCACGACAAAGGGCAAAATCCATTATTTGCGGAGCAACCAGCAAACGTCTTTATTTTTATAAGTGATTTAAACGACAATTCGCCAACATTTGAAATCTCATTATACGAAGAAACCTTATCAGAGAGCACGCCACCTGGAACGTCAGTTCTGCGCGTACGTGCTTCAGACATCGATCGAACTAACAACGGAATGGTTTTCTGGATAGTAAAGGAAAATTTAGAATCAGATTTTAAGGTGAATTCGTCGTCAGGAGTAATTTATGTGACGAAATCCCTGGATTTCGAAAGAACAAAACTTTATCGATTTCAAGTTGCAGTGAGAGAAGAGAAGATGGAATCTCCTACCGATTTTACCACCGTTGTTATCTCAATTTACGACGAAAATGACAACTCACCATTTTTTCATCCTACGTACTATAACATTTCAGTCTCAGAAGCTACGCCCGCTACAACAGAACTCCTTCGACTTCACGCAAGTGATAAGGACAGCACGACGAACGCAGCACTTTGTTACTTCATAGAATCGGGAGACGAAGAGTCTCATTTTTTCTTAGATGAGTCCAAGGGATTTCTTTCCCTAACCAGGAAACTCGACCATGAGAATGTGTCAAGCTATCGCTTAATAATTAACGTAACCGATAAAGGAAAACCACCACGTACAGCTGAGGTGCCCGCTACAGTCAATATTGAAGTCTACGATGAGAACGACAACGTACCTCGGTTTGATTACGAGACTTACTCTGTGTCAGTCAACGAGAATATTACATCCGGGACCTATATATGTACAGTGCATGCGCACGACAAGGACTCTCTTTGGAATCACGAGGTGACGTATGCCATGGCCAGTTATAGCGAACCAAACACCAAGGGAAAATTTGATGTGAATAGAAAAACTGGAGAAATATTTACGACGGGAGATCTCGATAGAGAGGAACAACAGGTGCGTTGTACGTGTAGTTGCAGATGTAGAAATAACTTAGTAAACCTTTTTTTCACACTTGTAACTAGACCAGGTTGATTCTGAAAATTGGGCATCATGAAAGTTTGAGGAGTAAGTGAAAGAACAATAAGGTTCTACACCCTTTAAATGGCTACATAAAGTCTACTAATCGGTGAGTTCAGGGATAAGATTAATTTGGTAAGATTGCTTTTCAGATTATCTGATCAACACGGTTGATACTAGATTTTATATTTTTCATATCACACCATGAAGTTTCCATAACCCTTAAGTGATAAAAATAACCAGCATTAAATGACTTCTAATAATATTAATAATAAAAATAATAGTAATAATAATAATAATGATGATGATGATGATGATTCATACAGCTCCAAAAACCATCCTAAAGGACCACTTCTCATTTTAAAGGTTTATGAGTTTACGGTTGTCGCAAGGGATGGCGGAAAGGTGCCCTTTGAAGGCCACGCAAAAGTGATTGTAACCTTGATTGACGTAAATGACAATGCCCCTGTTTTTAAGCAAGGAGATTATCAGGTATTTAACTGTATTAATGTACTACGTGCTAATGCAGAAGAACACTAATGATCGAGCTTGCAAGAAACACAGACATAAAACACAAACAGCGCTGATAAACATTGTGAAATTTCGAATGCTAGTCAACATATGTCAAGTTTAACATAAAATGCGAAAGCTCACAATGTTTATCATCGCGGTTTGTGTTTTATTTCTGATTAAACCACGATTAGCCAAGAACAAAAGTCTTTATAAAAAACACAGAAATTCAGTAACAAAAGCATGACAGTGGTACATCAAAGGCTGTTGAGATGTATTACTGTACCGTCGGTTTTCAAATGAATCCTCCTCAATATCATTAAGAACATTAAGACCAAAAACGATAGCCTATGTCATTTCGAAGAGTAGACGATTTCTTGATACGTAGTCCAGTAGAAAATATCTAACATACATTTTTAGTTTAGTTGGAATATTCCCGTGCCTTCGTGATATTCCTCGATCCAGTAGATAATTATGTCAGATTTATGTTATTCGATTTAAAGTAGTAGCTTTTCCCACCAGTCTCTTTCATAAACCTTCAGTCCTTTAAGTGTCCAAAGTAAAAATTAAAGAAAAAAATCCAATTTTCTTTTGTAAAATGGAAACATTAATAAGGTGTAAAAAAGAGGTTTCACTTGAACGTTAAAACAAAATAGGATTTCATCCAGAGAGTCAAAAGTCAAAAGTTACAATGGCGTATCATTTCACTTTAGTAGCTCAGTCTAAAGGTGAACAGGTTAACAACTTCTACTACATAATGCAGCTTTGTACTTTTACATTTTACAGTCATCGATACAACTTGCAGCGGACGCTGCAGTCAACTCAGCCGTTATAACGCTGACCGCTGTTGACAAGGATAGTGGGCTCAGAGGGAAAGTCGCATACGCTGTGCTGGATATCGTTGGCTCAATTTTATCCCAGCATGATGAAGCGCTGCACTGTACCGGCAACTTAAACGGTAGTTTTAAGATAGATCATTATACTGGAACGTTGAGAGTTGCTAGATCATTGGCAGCGCGTTGTCTCTATAACGTGACAGTTCGCGCAATGGATCATGGGATTCCTCCACTATTTAGTGTTATTTCTGCACAGATTGAAACTGGAAGAAGAGATACCGGTGAACTCAGGGCACCCACTACCATTTCAGTTGTATCAAAAGAAGGTTCGTGTAGATATATTCTTATCTTATTTACAGGAAATTAACGCGAATTTAAAAAATTCGTGTTAATTTCCGCGACCATAATTTCCATTATTTCGGCTCCAAATTTTCGATACACCTTTGGCATTCTTGACACTTAAGAGGGAAGAGTATTTTCATCGGAGTGGAGATTCGCCAGTAACAGTGAAACTGTGAAGACCCCTCGGAGTAGCCAGCTTTCTTCGCTTAATCCCCTTCGTACGTTTAGGGAAAGCACCACAAACGAAGCTTCCATTTCGGATTATACGTTTAACTTTGCCCCTATGTTTTTAACAAGTTTTGTTCTTTGTGAAGCCTCGTTAATTTCCTTCATTTTGAAATGTTACCCCCTCTTTTGCGTTAATTTCCTTTATTCGAAATTCGTTTTCCATTAAATTCGCGTTGATTAAAGTCGCGGTCATAGAACATTAATTTCCTATAATGAAGTAGACGTCGCTCGGTCGGCCGCTTCGCGGCCTAAAAAGGCTCGCTCCGCTCGCCAAGAGGTCGACTTGAAGCAAGTCTAATAATGAAGTATCTGTCTTCAGTTTTAAAAGCAGCGCCTACAGACACAGATCATAGGAGGCCACTTGGCTATTCCCAGGCCTTCTCGGTCAATACATTTCGGTGACGTATACGAAATGAACGGTGCTTGGACCACGTGACCCGAAACACATAGTCCAGGTGGAATAATCAAACCTAGGGACTAGGCAAGAAGGGCCACCAATGTTGTAGCTCTACTACTGATGATTGGCCGCCAACGTGGTAGCTCTATTGATGACTGGCTGCACTACTTTCGCTTTGTAAATCCATTTACGGATTTTTTCCAGCTTCCAGCTTTCCTTCCATGCTTCCATGCTAAACAAAGCTTGGTCCTGAGCGTATAAATCACCCATTAGTTTTAATTTATTTTCCCTCTACAGATCAGACCAAGGTCATCGTTATTGTGTGCGTGTTTGTTTTGATTATCGCAGTTATTGTTGCTTTGGTAATATGGAGAGAGGGAATGTAAGTTAAGCTATCTTTTTAACTTCCAATATTATAGTAGATTGCTATGAGTATCGGATAAAAAGAGAGACTAAGTCCCAAGTCCCAAGTATAATACCAACATTTAACAAGTATTCTTTCAAATCGAGGTGAATAGTGTCCGAAATATATCTGACCCGGGTAGACTGCGAACAGGCCGGGAGGCAGCGAGGTAAATATTCCTAAAGCCACTTTTCACCGATCAGATTGCTTAAATAACCAAGATTACTGAGTGTGTGTATACTAAATTGAATTTATACATATTTATTTGTTTCGAGCGTGTTGAAAGGTCTGCAGTGAGGCCCTCGGAGAGAGGTTGCCAAACCGTGCGGTCTTTAAGGAATAGAAAAGATTAAGAAACAGACTACAGAAACCCTGCGTGGAGAAGCCTGGGTATAACAAACAGAGCGGACGGATCTTTCTTCGGAAATTTTCGGTCCCCGTTGAGCATTTTAAATAAACAATGTCGGTAGTTTCTTGGCGTTTCTGTGGGTGCCATCGCAAAATGACTTATTACAAAAGTTTGAAACTGAAACACATAACAAAAGCGAAACAACAAAGTTTTCCCAACTCCAAGAAACACCCAAACAATCCAAACTGAGGACGTCTCGTCCTTTTTCCTTCGTTTTTGTTCTTGTCCTTATTTTTCTCCCCTGTTTTTTCATCTTTTCTGCGTAAATTCCTTGAAGAATGCTGCCATTACAAAACAAGCCGTTTTTGGACAAGAAGGGAAACCATACGTTACAAGAACTAGAGCAATGAAAGAATTTATTTTTTTCGTCTTTTTAGGCGCTACATGCGGAAGAGAAAAGTAATAGTGAGACGGTAAGTTAATACAAATTTAGTTAAGTTGAACTAATAAAGGGCTGGGTATCAGCTGGGGAACAAGGGGGGCGCAGTGGTGAGAGCTCTCGCCACCCACCAGTGTCGCCCGGGTTCATGTCAAGGCATAGATGCCATATGTGGGTTGAATTAGTTGTAGGTTCTCTCCTTTGCTTAGAGAGGTTTTTCTGTGGGTACTCCGCGGTTTTTCCCCCGTTTTCAAAAACAAATACCTCCAAATTCCAATTCGATCAGGAACGCACGGACACGTTTTAACGAGCTCTGAAGAACTCCCAAGTGCTTTGTGGTGAAAAAATAACAGAAAATCTCAGTTAAAATTACTGTCTTTATCATTTTTTCCCAGGTCCATAAGAAGAAACACAAAAAGCGCTGAAGACAGCTCCTCTTCAGATGATCGCGAAACAGTGCGCTTCACAAAATATCCCGCGGATCAAGACAGCTTGTATCTTGATCACTGCTCTACTATGACAGAGATGGCCAGCTCACTACTGAACCAACGCTCTCTGTGCTCATCTGGAATGGAAACAGACCTCTTGGAAACGTTCACGGTGCCTTATGATGAGAAAGAAGGTTACACAGTTGTAGATGGGGACACTGAGAGTTTTTGCGTCAGTATTGACTTCGGCTTGGAATCAGACGATCCATTTGTTTTTCCCACCTTTGACGAGGCGGCCCGTAAGAAGAGCACGCGCACTCAGCGAGGAAAATCCCGTTCTTTGGTCTCGTCGTGTGGCTCAAAACGCTCTCGGGCGTCCCTACCCGCGAAATTTGGATCCCGCAACTACTCGAAAGGAAATGGTGTTCGCGACGTTATATCAGATACCCGTTTGTGAGAAATTATTACTGAATGGACAGTAATAACAACAAAATCAATAAACAAATTGAAAAAACTTTCTTGTTTTTCGGAGACAATCAAGTGTCTGACAATTATCATGGAGTGTTTCCGTGAACTTTGGATTTTATCCATGGCGAGGTCCGCTTGTTATCGATTCTGATTGCGTTCTTTGTAAAGACTACACAAACTTTGAAACCGTTTATAGGGACAAAAAAAAACAAAAGCATTTGCCTGAAAAACCTTCACTCGTGTAGCAGCAACCGCAAATGAGCGCGCATGTAATGCTTTAGTATCATAGAGAAGCAATTGCTCAAGTAACGAGGAAAGTTTATCACAAGCAATAACAAAACTATCGGTATTTCCCGAGTATGAAGTGTATGACAATTCGAACTCAATAAACTTTGTAAGTTAATCCTATAGTTTTCGATTATTCAAGGTTGTAATTGAAACCGAAGGGCTAAATGAATGTGAAAATGAACTGATGTACATGCATGATTTAAACTTCTTCAGTAAAGTTAATTTGTTGTTTGTGTTTTATCAAGTGTAAAATTGTAATTTGTAATTTGTTTACCCACGGAGCACTAAGGAGTTCATAAGAACTCGTTTAAACATGTCCGTGCGTTCCAGATCGAATTGGAATTTGAAAGTGTTGGTTTTTAAGGAGAGGGGAAAACCGGAGTACCTGGAGAAAAACCTCGCGGAGCAAGGGAGAGAACCAACAACAAACTCACTTCACATATGGCGTCGACGCCAGGATTCGAACCCGGGCCACATTGGTGAGAGGCGAGTGCTCTCACCACTGCGCCACCCTTGCTCCTCCTTAACTCTCCTTTTAAAATGTATAAAAGGAAATGGGCCTGACTATATTTCTACTTTATCTGAACCTCGTATATTACGTTACAATGTAACGAATGGAGAACACAATCTCACTCAACCATCCTATAATAGTCGGTATTATTACAATTTTTCACTTACAAGGCTTCGAGTTTGTGGAATCAGCTTCCTTCTTACATTAAAAGATCGACTGTGTTGAGTGAGTTTCTTAAGCATTTAATATCTTTTGATCTTAAAAAATTGAGAGCCAGTTGTAAATGCAGTTTTTGTATGTCTTTAGGTTTTTACTCTATCTTAGATGTATTTTTTTTTTTCTTATCTTAGGGTTTTTAATTTTTAATTAATTCAGTGAAATGCGGGCGGGTCTTGCTGTAAGTATTCACGGATATATTATTTTTATACATTTATGATCTTTTAAAACTATTTTTATTGAAATGTATTGTATTATTGTTAGCTATTTTTATTGTCATACGTTTCATACATGAGTCTTGGATGATCGGGGCAACCCCACCCACCACATAAATAAATTGATTGATTGACTGATAGTTTATGAGAAAGGTCCTGACGTAATTTGTTGTGCGGCTTGTATAATTACATAATTTATGCAAGTCAGTAGTATAATAAGCGCTCATTATTATATATAGTACTGAAACATTGCACGACAAAGGAATGGGGACAATGCATGGAGTATTACGTGGAATAATAGGTGGTTGATATAGGCGAATCGGAGATGTCTGTCAGTCGGAGAGGAGGTCAGTCTGGTAAAACTGGCCATTACAGGAACTATAAAACAGGTTTTATCAATCGAAAACCGGTTGGTCGATCGTGCAAACCAATCGTGTTAGTTTGCACTTGGCTGAATTGCGTAGTTTCGGTAGCTTGTTGTTTTCCCGTTGTTTTTATCTATTACGAGTCTGTGTTGTTTTCACTCAAGAAAACTCCTCGATCAAACAGTTTGCTCCTCATACTATAACGTGTGATACGATTCCTCGATCAACCGACAATCTAAGGCAAGTTAGACTTAATTTCATGACTCTGTTGCTGTCAGTTACAGTTTGGATTTTCCGTTGTTTTGTTTTGGACCAATGTTTCTTAGCACCCAGTTGAATCACGAATTGTTTTCCCCCAAGATGTAGGTTAAGACCAAGCGATAAATTTCTTCCAGTTTTAAACGTATTTTTTTTTTATCATTTTGCTCAAGTGGAAACCGATTAAAGTAGGAAACGACAGAGCTGTAATTGTAACTGAATCAAAGAAAACATAAGCATTTTGAAATACTGTCAAAAGTGGGGTCCCTAACATAGGCTTTCAATATAGAATAGGAATTTGAACAGATATGTTTTCTCAAAAATATGTAATATCTGAATGCGGAACTGAAAGTCTCAATGATCCCCAACCACCAGTGAACTATCATTACGGATGTAAGGAACAGCGCATAAAAGTAGAAGTTATTTTTTTCGTTTTCACATTCTGAAGAAGTTTTTCAGCAGTTACCTAAATCTGAAATACCCTCTTACATTTATTAAGACGAAATTGAAACGTTACGACTTTTGAGGTAGTGATCATAGTGGCAAGACAGAAGTTGTTAAATAATAATCAGGTCGCGATTACAAATTTGCATTTTTCCCTTTCACGGTAAAATTAAAGTGCTCCTTTGAGTTACCTAATGTACTATGATCTACACTGCATAACTCGAATTACGCTGAAAGCTCTCAGATAGTCCAGCTTTGTACATAATGTAGTGAAAATCAGCATTAACGCAGAGTCAGAGCCGAGCGTGACTGCTTGCACTTTCCGTGGTTGGACACATCAGTGACACATTATAATCAACTGAGTATATGGAATCTTTAATAAGGAAATAATTAAACAAAGAAATGAAAAATCACGGTGCGACAAACTTCCAAACTGCCCTTGTCTGTTTGTAAGGGAAATCAGTGAGTGATATCGAATCTTATTTTCTTGTAGTTCAAAATTGCCCAATAGCGCACGACTGTGCTTTAATCAATATACGCAGGTGCTTACTACGTATGCAAATAAGAATCAGTAAACAAAAGAGGGAAGCGTGACTATCAGCAAATACAAATACTGTATTTGAGTTCTAAAAGCGTCTAAATTGAAGAGGCAAGCTAACAGATTTGAACTAGTTATAAGATCGTGACAAACTAATCCTGATCCTGCAATCACGGTAAGTTTCCGGTCTGTGATCACGAGTGAAACGTTTTGCACACTAGAGGGCAAAAATTAACCTACCTCCCAGTTCAAAGGCGCTGAAGCTGAATAACTGCACGACACGCCATAGACTTATTTTGTAGCTCGGTGCATTAAAACAAAATAAACCGACGATACTTGATTGGAGAGCAAACAAAAGCATCAAGAAAAATTGGCTTTGGACGACTGGACTGGACCAGGGATATACGGATTACCACTATTTTGTTGGGAGCGCTTTTAAGCATGATATAAAAATGTATATACACGCATTAAACACTAAAAACTGGGTACTGTCACAAGGAAGTGCTGCTGCTAGTACAGAATAATTTTGAAACAGTTAGGAAAGTGTTTACACGTCCTAAATACTGACTAACGATCTTGAAATGAAAAGGACTTTCCTTTCCGAATAGATCTGAGGAAAAAAGGGTTTTTTTATGTTGAGAAAGTTTGATTTGCTGCAGGAATGGATGAACTTGCTCATCCGCTGAGTTAATTGTAGCAGTTCGGCTCAGATTTCGTCTTCTTATTATGTGTGTAATCTCCGCTATTTCCTCAAACTCTGCTAAAGCTACAAAGCAGCTGAGCTACTTTGCCCTTTACTGTCTCTGCGAATCAGAGACGCCACGTTACCATGGCAGCAAAACTTTTGGATTACAACAATAGGAAACTTAAGCAACGACGACAGTGACGCCATCGAGAACGGCAAAAAAGCAATAGATCGTTTTCACTGTCACGCAACCAACAAATAAATTGGAAACCGTCCCGACTGGAAGGAAGCCAAGAAAATGAAATGTTATAAAAGAATAATATATAAACAATTTGTCCAAGTTTCAGGTCTTTGTGGACCACAGTTTCTGAGTTATTTGCCGAAATGCTTCAACGTTTCCAACCTGGAGACGCCATATTGGTGTACATTTTTGGTGTACCGACATGGCCGCCGGAAATCAACAAAAACATCTGGAGTTCACTTTTTCTATAAAAGCTCTTTCTTTTCAGTCGAGAATTAACATACGTGTGCATAAACATATCTTCTAATACTTAAAATGGTTATACTGCTGAAAATCAAGAGAAGAGACTTTTTTTCATAGAGACAGCATTCCTATTTTGGTGTCACGCACTGTGAAAACTCGGAAGTTCAAATTGCTGTAAATGCTACGGGAATGGAAACTTGTATAAAAATTTATGTTTTGTTTATCTTCTACCTAGTGTAAATAAGAATTCGTAAAACCTCGCTATTTTGACGTAACAATTTGATGACGTCACTGTGAAACCATCGATAGGTTTATATTAGCAAAATAACAACTTGCACGCTTTTTTGTACATTTCGTAGCTGTCGTTGAACGACGCGACATGAAACTTTCTAATTTCACGCGCCTCCTTTATGAAGCAGGTGAACACAACCCCAAATTTTCTTTTTCTTTTTCTGAACTTAAGTTTTTCGGAACTCACCCCAGAAAATTTCGCCAACATTAGACACATTAAAGAAAATTGAATAAAATCGATGAGGTCTAAAACAATGCGAATCCACTTTTTAAGTGACGTTTTCGTTTGTTGTCATTCAGAAATTGTGCTACCATGGCAACGTAATGTAACGACTTCTCTTCTCTATTTAGGGGTTGGGATGGTATATGGAATTATAAAGTAAAACTAAATTTTGAGGACTTATGCTGGCAATGTATACAATGTATACATTGGTACAATCATGAGAGATGTTGGTCTATATTACAGAACGATGCTTTTTACGTACGCTCTAAGCCGAGGAGTGGAAGATTTACTTTATCCAGATGATAGGAGGTTGTTGTTCACAAATACCACTGGACACTGGAAGAGTAACGAAGTCCGCTGATGACATCGAAGAAGTCGATCGAGTAGCGGAGTTAGGGAAATTTAAAAGATTTCTTTTGTATCGGCATGCTGTTGAGACCAAACCTAAAGAAATGAATAGTGGCCCACTGTCTTCCCCTTCCGGCTACGCCAAGCTTCGATTATAACACGTGGACTACCAGCAAATAGGACGATTGTACGATGCTGATGAAGGTGATGGGAGGGGTTGTAATGACAGCCATGTCTAATTTATCATAATCTAGGCCAATGAGTATATGTTTTTATTTCCTGTCTCTTGAGGTAAGTATCTTACAAGATCAAACAGAAGAAAATGATGGTGGATATTCAAGACTATACAAAACAACTATTTCTTAGTTTTAACATAAGCCTTAGAGGCAATTCAGAATCCCAGAATTGTCCCAGCTTTGTTAGTTTGTCCTTAAACAGTTATTAACGATGTACAACTCTTTTAGTCCTTTAATGCCGCGAACTTCTTTATTTCTGATAACGTCATGATGATAAAACAATACTTTCGGCCGTAGATCAACGACCACTAGTATTGCCACTAGCACTGCCATATTATTAGCACTGTTATTGGTACTACCATTAATTGGTCTGGCGGTGCGTCTCCAGCATCAGTTTAGGCCTACAATGATTAATGATTTCGTTTTACATCCAAGCAGAATTAAATGTAAATGAGATTGACCGTCGGGAAAAAGTGTCGGAATCGATTTATTTCCCCTACACCTGAGACGCTCAGCCAGCGCTGAGATGTTCTGTCAAAACGCACTAAATGTCTAAAACATGCCGTTTTTTCCTTGAAACTCGCCGATAAGACAAGGTGTCTGGTAATTCTCGAACTTTCCAAAACCGTTTCGAATTTCGGTAAAATCAGGAACATGCATGGTGTCTAGTGACATTAATGTCATGGATTCGCCTGATAAATCAAAATAATACACTGATTTATTTGCTTTACTTCTCGATAACAGGGAATCATTGCAGTTTTCGGCAGATTTAATGCTCTCTTTCAGTAAAGGAAACCAAACCGCTTTCTCCTTGCCAAGGATTTCAACATTTTTTATTTTGAGCTTATAAGCGGCAGATTACGGTATTAATATTACGTTTACGTTTCTCGTTTGTTTCCAGGAGAATGGACAGAGATAACGTTCCGAAATCGCCTCTTCCTCACGTGACTACCCATCAAGCCGTAGTTATGGCAGCTCGTCTATTCGACCTGCAGGTCACAGCAGTTGAAGATCTCAGCAGCTTCGATGACAAAAACTTCTATATGCGAGGAACATTGAAAGCACAAGAAGAGCGCAATGTTTTGCCTAGTAACAAAGAGTTTATCCTCAAAATAGCAAATGAGGTTGATTCAAGCGACGAATGTTTTATTGCGACACAGCTCGGTGTGATGACGTTCCTCAACGCACGCGGCTTTAAGTGCAGTACCCCTGTTCCCTCCGTCTTGGGCACGCCCTACGTGATGTGTAAAATCCCAAGACGTGACTATCCTGGTGTTATTGCCCTGGAAACTAACGGAGTCCACCGCGCTGCCGAGATTTACAATGGCGAAGCATATTCTGAGGATGTATTCATTGTCTGCGCTGTACGGTTGCTTAACTATGTACCGGGTAAAGTGCTGAAGCAAACTTCACTCAGCAACAAAGTGCTCTTTGAAGTTGGAAAGGCTGTTGGGAGGATGAATAGAGAGTTAAAGGTAAAAAAGTTATTTAGCTTGTTATTTTTGCATTTCCAACGTAATGTACGTTCGAACTGCGCCATGGGACCAGCGGTATATCCCAGTGACGCATGCTTTCTTTTGATCAAAGGCCACTGAAAATTTGCAGGCTTCCATGTCCTTGATAATTTGGTTTTAAAACAGACATGGAGGAATAAGTAACCTATTGGAGAATAAAAGTTTAAGTGCAGCTTTAAGCCTTTTTCCGAGGCAACAATCAAATTGACGTCCTGTAGGTCAAAAATGGTGACAGGAAGTTGACCTTTCGTGTCAGCCGAACAATGCATCGTTTCCTCACCCTTTGTTTATCTAAATTCTGGTGGAGACGCAACAAAATTATATACAGGGACCCTCCTCCCCCTAAGGTTCAACCCCTTACCCTTTTATATACGTTTTTGAAGATCTTGTCTGAAAGTTTTGCTTGAATGGAACACATCCAGCATACGTTGTGGCCTTTTGGTTCCCGTGATGCAGTTTTATTTATCATATGGTAAATTTTGTTTGGCAGGAATTTGAATGTCAAACGCTGAGTCGTCCAGATTTCCTCTGGGACATGTCCCGCGCTGGAGATGCTGTTGAGGAATATCTTGAAGCCGTCAGTGAAAATCATTACATCGAAATGGTTCAAGAAATTTGTCACAATTTTCGAAAGGAGGTTTTGCCAAAGCTGCACCTTCTGCCCAAGCAATTAATCCACGGTGATTTGAATCAAGGCAATATTTTGATTCTGCCTTCTGAAAACGGAAAAATTGCACACGACATTGGTTTCATTGATTTTGGGTTTCTTAACTACAGCTGCCGTATTTTTGATGTAGCAGTGGCTCTTATGCACATTTTAAACGAAGAAGTCAGCCTCGAGCGGAGCTTCGGAAGAATCCGAATGGCAAAATACTTTTTGAATGGTTATCATTCTGTCAATCCGTTGTCCAACGAAGAAATTTCTTTGCTTCCTGTCTTGGTAATTTCCAGATTTTGTCAGTCGCTTGTCTATAGAACCTACCTGAGCAAACCCGTTAATCCTGACGATAAGATGGACTTGACGATCAGAAATGGCTGGAAGAATCTGGAAGTGTTGTGGAAAATACCAAGAGAAGAGATTTTGAACACATGGAGCCAAGTCAACGACGAAAATTGACAGCTGCATGATTCTTTAATCGCCATCTATGTTTCAAAGTTGTCTCGAATTTCTTTGCTCTATTACGACTCGGGAAATGTATTGTAGCATCTAAACCAGATACCACAAAAAATGTCGAAACCTTAAACTCATTTTAGTTATAATTATTAGTTATTAATAATTATTAATTGGGATGGCTCAGCTGTTTTTGCATTTTTTGTGCATTATTCTTTTCGTTGTCTTTTATTTTCAGCGGTGATGATAATATATAAAAATGTCATCTTACAAAGGACTGTTCGAAATATGAAGTTGTTTCCCGTGCTCGTTTTTCTCGTTGCTGCAGACACGAGTAGTGAGTGACTTAGTTGTATCATTTTAATGTTGTCTCCTAAGCAACAAATTAAAGAAAATTTGCACTGAAAAAGCTGAGTCCAAAATCTCTCGTGCAAGAATACTAATGCTACTAATGTAATACAGTGGAACCTGTCCCGATATGGGAGGAAATTAGAAAAATGCGCCGAAATACAGCTCCCAATCGGCCATCGATCGTCCGCCATATTGACAACAAGATCATTCATTCTTAACTTTCCGCATGCGCAGTAACTAACTTTTTCACGTCACAACCTCTTGACCAATCAGCCGTTAGCCCTGTCAGTGGAACCACGCTCTACGGACACCCGCATATAACGGACAGTTTCGTTTGTCCCAACAAAAAGTTCATATTCGTGAAATTAACCCGCTTATTAAAAACACCGGCATATATGGACAACGGACAATTTTCTGTGCACCCAGTCACGAATACTCATATATCCTCAACCCTGCTTTACGGACACTGGTTACCTGCGCACTGTCTACATTCATGTCACGGTCATATATGTGCTAGTTGTAGACATTGTACCCTGTTCAAATTATGACATATTTCTATGCAGGTTAATACGATTTTTTTACTTAAAAGAAACAGTAAACAAAATGGCGTTGCCAACCTCGTCCCCTGGGATTGTCCGTTATAGAAAATGGGCGGGACGCCCCTACCATTTTTCAAGAGGAAAAGCCCTCAGGACGACTATTTGCTTTTCTTGAGTCCGTCCTTCTTCCAATGTTTAAACCTCGGGCCTGCCTCGGGCCTGCCCTTAAATAAAGTCTTGTGCCTACTAAGTTCACAAGTTTCACTTCCTTGGCTTTTTGCGGCAGTCATTGTTCCTACCCTTCTTCTCGTTGTCTGCTTTCAATTAATCTTTATATAAGTAAACCATGTGTCCCCAGTGACACATTTTCGGAGAGCTCGCTTAATACGGACACCCGGTTAATACGGACACTATGGCATGTCCGCTTGATGTCCGTATCAACCAGCTTCCACTGTACCTATTTAGACAGTAAGCTGGTGTTCACAAGGGAAACGCACATCGGCATTTTTTTATACTAATTTTGCCATAATTTTTGTATCAATATGGATTTCTCAGAAATTCCACATTAATACAAAAATGCTAAAATATCTCGGGTTGTTATACATCTTGCAAACTTAGTCTCTGGCCATTATTCAGTCATGATGTATTTGGTGAATCTGTAAATAACTTACACGGGGAAAAAGAGAGCTGTAAGAAGGGTCTGAATGGGAGGGTCCACATCTCGGTTGTCGGTTAAAATTTTCGACGTTTGTTGATTGTCTGTAAATCTAGGTTAATGATTAAAAAACAAGTTAATTTTTAATATTCGTTACTTAATTCACACAGTTTTATAAACCCTATACAAGGGTAACACTTCTTCTTCATTCCGCGTAGATAATCATTAAATTACAATGGAACCTTATCTAAAGTCTGGTTTGCTTAAGTTGCGCGATCGTTGGGCCCACTTTGAGCAGTCTTTAACCAGTTCTTCCCAGTTCACGGACTGTCTGCAAAGTAATCAATAGCAATAGTTAAGTTAGTTTTAGTGACTGAAGCCTGTTTCCCGGGAAATGAGCGAACGCTTTCCTGGATTTTCTCCGAAAATGAAGAGGAACAAAGGCGCACCATTTGAAGTCTCAAATGAGCTTGAGCTGTTGGCACGAAATAGGCAGTCCTCAATCAGGCATGCCAGCAAAAAAGCGAAAATCGAACCTACGCGATTTTATAACAATTTGACACTAGTAAGTTGATGACAGGAAATTCTATAAGTAACGAAATTGGGATTTAAAGTGATCAACCTTCACGCACACTTTTGATAAAATTAAAAATACGATTTTTTTTTTCTGTGTAAAAACATCCTTACAATGTTGGACCATGTCGGTTGTCGCTTAATATTTCTGTCGGTAGTCGGTAATTTTTTTTCTCGTTTTGTCGGTAGTCAGTTATATTTTTTGCCGTTTGTCGCTTGTCGGTTAACCCCATTCAGACCCTCTTTAAGCCCTCTTTATGGTCTGCCACGACTGATATCTAAATGAGAAGTCAATGAGTCTTTGTACTTTCAAATCATCGCGTTTAGCGGTGAAGGAAAACAGGTCAAACATTGTGATCTCGCGTTTCTAGATTAGAAACTGTAGATAGGATGTGAACAGTTCGGTGAAAACTTGTCAGACTTACAGACAGACGATATACTGTTGGACTACTGAACCTCAACGGTGAACTAAATTAAAGAGTAAAATTACATAATTATTTGTTTTCTCTGCATAGCATCTCATGCAGTAAGTTTACTGAGCGTACTAGAGACGACATTTTGCTCCATTTTTTGTCGTGATTGTTTGTGCGCTTGTATCTGGGCTCAGGCTCTCAAGATCTACACTTCTAAGTTAGTACTACAGTTGCAACAACAAAAAAAAGGAAAAAAAGAATTCACATTTTTAAAGATGCACGCTACCGGAAAATAACATCGTAAACATGAATATTGGACTGGATAATATATAATAATAATAATAATAATAATAATAATAATAATAATAATAATAATAATAATAATAATGATAATAATAATAATTATACCACTACATGAGAAATTTCTGCAATTTGATTTGTGGTATTTCAGCTTAATTTGAAATACCTATATGTGAAAATTACAAACGTTTTGCGGATAGTAGTATAAACAAATAATAGCATACTTTGTACGTGATATTTGGCATAAATACCACTCGTAATATTTCAAAATTGTCTCAAATTTCACTCGCCTACCGGCTTGTGAAATTACGTATAACAATTTTGAAATATCCCTCGTGGTATTTATGCCAAATACCACTACTAATCATGCTATTACCTATACTAATAAGGAGAAGACGCAAACCTCCACCGACGGCGAAGTCCTATGCAGGTTATGTGGGAAGGCAGCTGAGAGCGTTGCACATGTATTGGCTGGATGCTCCTCCCTGGCACAAACTAAGTACCTATACAGGCATAATGCAGCTTTTTGAGCTCCTGCGAGAGCATGGGTTAATAGAAGAGGTTCCACCATGGTACTCACCGGTGATGCCAAAACCAGCCTACCAGAACACCACGAGTGAGGCGTTTTTGGATATTCCCATCTATGCAGAGCACAACGAAGTTAGAGCAAATCGAATCGACGCGCGACTTGTCAGCCACGAGAGGAAAGAAGTCTGCACAGTTGAAATGAGCTGCCCATGGATTGAGAGTAGAGCTAAGAAAGATGAGGAAAAGACACTCAAGTATGGGCCCATGATGTGGGAGCTGAAGCAGAGATACAATGGTTACAGGGTTGAACAGTACAACGTAATAATTGACGTACTGGGTGGTTACTCTAAACACCTAGAGAAGTCGGTGGGGAAGCTACTTGGAGCGAGAACACGGAGCGTACTTGAGCGGATGCAGAAGTCGGTCATCTCAAACACTTTAAACATTGCCAGAACATTTAAGATAAGGACTCCAGTTTTTAGGTTTTTGTTTTTTCTCTAGAAATCTAGAAACACAAGCTTGCTGATGTTTTTACTTAGATTTTTTGGAACATTAGAGTTTGACATTATTCTAAATAAGCTTTTAGTAGAGATAACCACATTATGATGGCCTCGTTTAGGTATATAGGAGATAATGAGAGTGTAAAAACTGAATAATTTTCTAAATAGGCCTCTATTAGAGATAATCATATCATCATGTCTTAGCGTCGGTTTTAAAGAGTATCAGAATTCAATAATATTCTAAATTGGCTTTTTAAGTAGAGAGATTCATAGCGGAGCTCTGGCGCGCGAAGCGCGCCTGCAGAGCACCATGGGTAAGTAAATCTACCCATCCCAGAAAAATTGGTAATCACGTGACCGTACACCGCCCGTCCGTCCGCACCACAGGGAAACCAGTGTTCAATCCTCACACTTGCTACCTAGTCTGGGAGCACAGGAAGACTGATATTGCACACATATATTGCACATCAATGTTGTGATCAGTTGACAGCTGTCAAAACAGGGTATCCGCTGACCAGTATCACCTGACCGTATCGCGGGCTCAGGTGTCGACTATCGAGGTCGAGGATCTTTTTGAAGTTATCCGCTGACAAGTAACTAGTTTTCAACTGATCGCAGGCTCAAGTTTAATTTTTTCAATCCATATGTTGTGTTTTTTATGTGCTGCACAATTAGAATTTTGATTTCAAACTGACCTCGGAAGCTAAAATTCAGCCAGTTTTTACAGGCAGGGAAGACATGCCAGTTGCTTGTGACT